GGTTAATTCTTCTTATCTAACCTTTTCTCTAGTTCCTGGTCCCCTTCTCCTATTGGCCTCAGTTGCTTTAAAGTGGCATCATTTTTGTCTTGAGAGCAACACCAGGGTTGCACGTGAGGTCCTTGGACCCATACAGCCCTAACTTGGGGGGAGTGGGGAACATTTGAAAACAGTGTTTTGTCCCCTATTGGTAAAATTAAACAGATGGTGGTGAAGTGTGACTCTCCCTTTTGCTTCTGGAAGGAACTTCCTGGCCAATGTTCATGGCCCATTTGGGAAAGGGCTATTTCAAGAGACCTAGCCCTAAAATCCTGGAGCATCCACTTTCCTTTTCCTGTCCTGTGCTTCGCTCACCCATGTGGCTCTTCTCTGCAGACATCCCCATCCCAAAGCTAACGGTCTCTTTTGTTGTGGCTTGACATAGAGCCTCAGAACCACTCATGTCACCGTCAAATTGCAGTTTGGTCTACAGATTCCTGGCAGTGACTTAGTTTTATGATTCAACCTCTGAGAACCAGAATCACTGAACTACTTACATAGCATGGTTCACAGACCTGGGGCTGAAATCCCACTGGACTGCTGTGCTGTGAGCACTTAGATCCTCCTGAGGTAGGAGTACCTAGCGCTTGACCTCCAGTGGGGGATGTGGGGTGGGGTCATGACTGTAAACACTCTGGGTTTCCCCAGCTCAGTAGAATCCAGGATGTGGTAGAGGCAGGAAGATGAGGTGAGCTTGGATAGTGAGGTGTGTTTTGGCATTTCTGAAATTTGTTCAAAAACTTGTGGTCTAGGGCGGTGGCTTGAAGCTTCAGCCTGCATCAGAATCAGGAGGAAAGCTACTAAAATGAAAGACTGGGCCCCCACCCTAGAGCTTCTGCCTGATTAAGTGGGTCTGGGTGGGACTGGTGTATGCTGACTTGAAAGGGTGGTTAGGTGATGGGGATGCAGGTTGTTCCCTATATATTCAGAAGACAGACTGAAGGCAGTGATGGCTGGTTGCAGAGAAGCAGTTTTTAATTCCGTGTAAGAACTTCACTACATGTAGTCAGAATTGGTGAGGTGCAGGCGCCTGTGACTCACGCCTGTAATCCTAGCTATTCAGGAGGCACAGATCAGGAGGATTGAGGTTCAAAAGCCAGCCCCAGGCAAATAGTTTATCTCACAAAGCACATAACAAAAAAGGGCTGGTGGAGTGGCTCAAGTGGTAAGAGAGCCTGCCCAGCAAGTTAACAAACAAAAAAGCCAAAACTGGTGAAGGTAGTCTCAGTAGCTGAAGTCTCCAATATTGACTGGCCACCTGGCAGAACCCTGTGCTCAGTAGAAGTTTCACTTATTCGTTCATGCATGCATCCATCCATCCTCTTACTCAGAATAAACAGGACCTGTCTGCTTGCTAGGAGCTTGGAGCTGAGAAGTCTGGAAAGCCAACCATGGTTCCTGTCCTGCGGGAGCCCTCAGTCCAGTGAGCTTGACGATGGGATATCTAGGGTCCCTTTCTTTTTATTTATTTATTTATTTATTTATTTATTTTCATTTTTCTTTTATTATTCATATGTGCATACAAGGATTGGTTCATTTCTCCCCCCTGCCCCCACCCCCTCCCTTACCACCCACTCCGCCCCCTCCCTCTCACCCCCCTCAATACCCAGCAGAAACTATTTTGCCCTTATTTCTAATTTTGTTTTAGAGAGAGTATAAGCAATAATAGGAAGGGACAAGGGTTTTTGCTGGTTGAGATAAGGATAGCTATACAGGGCATTGACTCACATTGATTTCCTGTGCATGTGTGTTGCCTTCTAGGTTAATTCTTTTTGATCTAACCTTTTCTCTAGTTCCTGGTCCCCTTTTCCTATTGGCCTCAGTTGCTTTTAAGGTATCTGCTTTAGTTTCTCTGCGTTAAGGGCAACAAATGCTAGCTAGTTTTTTAGGTGTCTTACCTATCCTCACCCCTTCCCTGTGTGCTCTCGCTTTTGTCATGTGCTCAGAGTCCAATCTCTAGGGTCCCTTTCAATGCAGAGGCAGAATGCTAAGGATGGCAGCAGAGCCTCAGAACTACAACACACAGGAGGACTCTTAACTTCTGAGGGTGTGTGGCTGAGAACCAACAGTGTGTGAATACTGCCAGGCTCAGTTTGGATTGCTGTCTGTGTGTGGTATCAGCCTGCTACACACATTATTATGCTATTTGATTCTTTTGGGTGTGTGAGGGATGTAATAGGGTTTGAACTCAGAGCCTCATGCTTACTAGGCCTGCACTTTATCCCTTGAGCCATGCCTCCAGCCCTTTCTACTTTATTTATTTATTTTTCTGGCGGTATTGGGGTTTGAACTCAGGACCCCATGCACTCTATCACTTGAGCCACTCTGTCATCCCCTTTAGTTATTTTTTGGATAAGGTCTCCCACTTTTTGTCTAAGCTGGCCTTGGACCGTGATCCTCCCACTTTCCCTCATAGCTGGGATTATAGATGTGTACACCACACCACACCTTCTTTGTTCTTTGAGATAAGATCTTGCTCAGTTTGATTTTAGCCTGAACTGGCTTTAAACCATAACCCTGCTATCTTTGCCTCCCAAGTAGCTGGAATTACAGGCACGAGCCCTAGCTTAAGACAGCTCTTTCAAGTAGGTATATTGTCCTCATTTTTGTGAAAGAGAAGGCTGAGGTCTGGGTAAATGATTTTTTTTTCCCCCTTCTGCCAAGACTCAGGAGCCTGAGGATGTATTTATCTCCAGTGCATTTCCTGCAGGAAAATTCACACCTTTCTTCTGTCATTATACTTTGAACCTCTTGCCAGCATGCCCTCTGTGGAAACGACCCAGGAAATGGGCTGCAGGAATGAGCTAATTGTTTTTCTTTCCCTTCTGAAGGCATATGCTGGCCAATGAATGACTGATAGAGACAAAGGCAAATTCCATCAGCTTTTCTGAATTCTTCCATCCTACGCCCTGGTAAAGCCAATAATGATAATCCCTAACTCCACACTGTGCCTGTGGGTGTTCAGCCCACATGCTGTTTGATTCTATTTGATGTATTTATTTATTTTTTGGTGATACTGGGCTTCGAACTCAGGGTCTTATTTTTAAAATATGATCTTATGTTTTGATGCCCAGGCTGGCCTGGACTGTGATCTTCCTGTTTATACTTCTTGCGTAGCTGGGATGATAGATGTGTGCCACCACATCTAGTGCATATTTGTGCAGGCTGGCCTTGAGCTGCGACCCTCCTGATCTCTGCCTCCCCAGTAGCTAGGAACAGGCAGGAGCCACCATGTCTGGCTTATGTTGTTTGATTCTGAAGTAGGTGTTTTATCCTCCCTCCCTCATTCCATTTAACCAATGATAAGCACTGACACCCCCTGGTGAGCAAAGTTGGGGGGGAGGGGTTATGGGGGTGGTGACCTCTGCCCGCCTGGGGCTTGCAGACAAATTCCTTCAGATCAGCAAGAGCCTCCTCCTCTGAGTTCTGGGCTGGTGAGATGTGGAGGAGAAAGCAAAAGGGCTGGAGGCTGACTGTGGCAAGTTAGACCCAAGTGTTCCCTGGAACAAGTGTTTCTCAGCCAGCTGGATTTCATGTTCTGCTACATTTAATTATATCCCCTTGGGGCATTTGCCTTCTGCTGGGGCTGGGGGAACCTGAGTCAGGAGTCCCAGAACTTGGAGCTTGAAGTGACACTAGGGTCTCTGTACTGTGAGCCTGTCTTGCTGGGACATGTCACTTCTTCAAAACCTCAGTTATCCCTTCGACTCCTTTGGCTCTCTGTGGGGCCCCCAGCTCCCATTTTCTTCTTTTAAAATCTGCTTTTAAAAGCAGATTTGAATTAGGTTTTCAGTTTTGGTTATTACTCTTAAAATGAATTTCAGAAATCTGTAACTTCCGTGGGAACATCTGTGGTCCCCTGAGATAATCACCGTTAACAGTACACATTTGCTTTTCTTTTTGTATTGTGTATGGACATTTGTTAGTTTTTCATTAAATGGATCTTTATAATTTAGTGTTTCTTTGTAACTCCAGTTTTTCATTAAATGGATCTTTATAATTTAGTGTTTCTTTGTAACTCCTTTTTAGACATTTTCTGTACTAGTTCACACAGATCTATGGCATTCTTTCTCTCTCTCTCTCTGTTTCTCCCTCCCCCTCTCTCTTCATCACACTCCAACAATTTCTAATGGTATCCTCCATTAGAAAACTTTTCACCCCTGACCTTGACTTTCTGTGGATCCATTCTGCTGGTTGAAGCATCCATTTTGCTCTTTAATTTTTCTTTTGCCTTTTAGAGAAATTCTGGGAACCCTGTTTGGTGTCACCTGGCTTTTGGTGAGGGATTCTTAGCCTCAGCTTCAAAGGGTCTATGACAAAAGAGAAAGCAACATCCAAGTTTACAAAAGAGAAAAGGGATTTCTTGGAAGGGTAAGGTGTAGAACTGCTAGGTCTCAGGAAATCTGAACCACAGTTCTTAGAAAGAACAGGCAAAGACAACTACAGGAACCCACGTAGCAGTAACACATCTATTCCTTCATCTGTTCAGGCCTTGCACTCCATTGGCTCCCCTTGGGGGGCCAGGTGGGACCCCTGGGTTGATATCCCACCAAATCATGCAATGGAGGGGGGGTTATTCCCTTGAAGAAAAATTGATGTGCTGATACTAAAAATTGGTGTGTGCCATGTTGGAAAGAAATGAATCGAGCTTCACAATAGGGTCTTCAGACCCTGGGAGATTTTGTGCATGTGTTTGCCTGTGTATTTTCTCTGGACTCAAAATAAAATTTAAAGTCATTGCTTCAGTTATGTCAGCTCCATCTGGTTGGAGTGATGATACAATGAGTATATAATTAAAGACAAGCTTTCTCTTTTGCCTTTTTGTTCCTTACTCCCTTCTGGCCACCCCATTTCTTCTGCTGTGGCATCCTGTCTTAGTTCAATTAAAGTCACTGGTGACTGTTACCAGGAGGATGAAGTCCACCAATAAAGACATAAATATCTGCTTTTCTTCTTTGCAGGCAGCTTTTTGCTCCAACCTATACAGAAACCTTTTATACTTCAAGTGGCAGCCCTCAGACGACCCCACTGAAATCTGAGGTGAGTTCAGCTCAACGTATATATCTACCAGCACTGCCCTAGCTGGATACCACTCCTAGGGACCAGGGAGGTGCTGATGGAGATGCCCACTTCTGGAAGGACTGTTCCCCATGACGGAAGACCAAGGGAACAAACAGGGAAGCCAAGTGTGTGCTGTGGTATCGATGCCCCCTGTCCTTTGCTGTCTAAAGTGAATAAATAAAAGGATGCAGTGGGTTAGGGCCATTGCACTGATTAAAACCGGTATGAATCATACCTTTTCTTGGTGTTATGTTAATTATACACATACAAAACTGTCATCTCACCCAATTAGATGTTTGCTCAGTCCCTTTCCTAATAGATATGTAAGGTTTGCAGAGTTGAGTGTAAAATTTTGGTCTGCCTTTTTAATGTATTTTTAATTTATGAAGGTTTTCTTGTTTTGCTGCTGCCTTCATACAGAACATTTACCCCTCAAGGCTGCTTTTCAATAGGGATGTTTACACAGAGTCAAAGGTTTGTCACTTAGAAATCACAGTCTTGCGGTGAGTACTCCCTGGATGGACATCCAAGGGAGTGAATCCTGCACATTTAATGGTTTGCCAGCCCTGTTTGCTTTGCCTGTGCAAAGTTTAGAGCAGTGGTTCTCAAGCAAGGTCCTTTTACCTCTCCTGGAGACCCCTAGCAATATTTGGAGACAACTTTGATTGTCGTTGGGGGTGGGGTGGAGGGATCCTGATGGTGTCTATCTAGTGGGCAGAGGCCAGAGATCCTGGTAACCATCCTGTGCACAGGACAGAACCTTGAGTGTCAGCAGCACACCATTTGAGAAGCCCTGGATTAGAGTGGCCTTTCTGAGCCTGCTGATGAGATGGGGTGAAGCAGAAAGAAAGAGCCAAAGTAATGGTGTCCTTTGCCTTTGAGACAGGATGAGTGGGCTTTTGAGGGCAGAGAGCTGAGGTGTGGTGTGGAGAACAGCAGGGCAGGTCCCTCTGCTCAGGACCCCTCTAGGAGCTTCTGTGGAAACTGATTCTCACACAAGGCTTTTTTTTTTCCCCCTTCTTATTTAGAACCGTTCTTTAAAATATCCCTGCTGGACTAACAAGACTGTGACAACCTTCTCTGGGTCACTAATAGCTTAGCTCGGCTTGTCAGATTCCTCTGAATGGGGAGGGGGACACAGGGTCTGAAAGACCTAGTGTGATGTCACTAGGAAGCTGAGGGGCTCTGTTAGGTTGCTAGACATGAAGGTCAACATATCTTCTTCACCAAGACCTTCCTGGATGGGGAAGGAGTTCCTGCAGGCTGTGTCAAGGACATGGGCCAGCTGTGCCCTACACCTTCTTAAATCCTTGGTCCAAGCTTCTCCTTGCTGACAGGGACGGGAGCAGGGCTTCGTGACAGCCATGCATAGAAAGACCCAGCGGATACAACCTCACAAAAATACCCTCTTTTGAGTTTGGCTCCTCCTGCTCCCATACCAACAGCTCAAGAATGGGTCTCAGTCCCCAAGTTTGCCATGAGCTCATGCTTCCTGTTATGAAGTGTCCTCTTCCCCCTTCACCCCCCCCCCGCCCCAGCCTGGCCCCCTCAGACTGGAATGCAATGACTTCATGGCTGATTCTTGATTTCTTCTTTGTGCTCTCTGCTGGTGCATTAGGCAGAGATGTTTTAAGGACCTCTCAGAATCAGAGCAGTGAATTTTCCCCTTGTTCCCAGAATCCTCTCCTTCCTGAAAGTCTTGTTGGCTGAAGTGCATCCCTGCTGAACCATGGGACAGCTCATTGTTTCCTTACATCCTCTGCTACTGGACTCTTGCAAAGTCCACACCCAGACCCAGGAGCCTTCTCATCTGGAAGCTGAGAAATCAATGAGAAACAGGACTGGAACAATGCATTTGGCCGTTCTTGACCCAAGTGTGGAAGACTGCACTCTGCCTCCAAACTTGACCCAGCATAGCAGGAGTTCTGGGAACTTTTTCAGGACTCATGAGCCAGGCCTTTAGGCTACAGCCCTAATCTAGGTCAGGTCACTGGGGGAATGGATCTATAAATGCATTCCAACTGAGAGAGCTTGCAGAGTTTGGGGTCTGAAGCCAGCACTGCAGCCTTGGCTTTCGCTAGCTATGTGGTCTTAATCAACCACCACACTATCGAAATATTTTTCATCTCAGAAATTGGATATGCTGATATCTGAAAGAGCTATGGAAAGGAAAGATGATTCACTGACTTTGATGGGAATTTATAAACTTCTTTTCTAACCCCATATTTTACTGTTGAGGGCATTGGGAGGAGAAGAGGAAAGGTCACTTGGCCCAAGTTCAAAAGTGGCAAGGCTTGGACTAGAACTTGTGTCCTTTGTTGCTCAAGGTGCTAGTGGGTACTAGAGCTTTGGTGAGTTAAATCCAAGGCTGTAGTGGATGCTGCTATGTCTGGGAAAGGCAGAGGATGGCGTTCAGTACTGGGCTGTTGGGGTTCGAATACCACTTCCAACAGCTTAGTGAATGACTTAAAACCTCCCTAGCCTTTGGTTTCCCCCTTTACAAACATATGAAAAATAGTAGCTGACTCATGTGGTTGTGGCTGGAATTAAAGGAAAAAAGATCTACCTGCCAGCTAGGTGTTAGCACTTACTTTTGCTAAGAGTAATTGGTAAGTATCCTCCTCGTGTGTGACAGTGTGTGTAAAAGTCCTCTGCACATCGTTGAGCAGGTGACAAGAGTCTGTTGTTAGGCTGTTTCAGAGTGCACCTGTGCTGTGCACACCGAGAGCATCCGTGCCTGACCTACATTTATGTATGAGTTCCATGACTCTCCATCATTCCAACTTCTGTGAGCCCCACTTATCCCATTCAGGCCTGGCCCCCCTTCTCTCCAAGAGAACTGGCCTCTCTTCTCCCTGTCAGTGACCCTGTGCTGCTGAGTTTGTGCCCCACAGTTGAGTTCTAAGAACCCAGAGCCCAGGGGCAGGTGGAGAAGCCATGTGACAGGCTGGCCTTTGGAAGCAGATGGACCCCAGGCCAGAAGGAAGGCTTTGCCTACCCAATCTTCTTTCAGAGGTGCTGGGTAATGTTCCCTCAGCACAGTAGCTTTCCTTTGCACTCGTCTGAAGGTCGGGATATGACTTATTTAAGGTCCAGGAGATTTTGACGCAGAGAGAGGGCTGACACCCATCCTTCCCCTTGGCCGCATGGTCATGGATGGGTAGAAGAGGCATCTCACTGGCTGATGGATTCCCAGCAGATGAAAGGCCACCCATGGTCCAAAGCCCAAGTTAAGTGTCGATTTGGCTTATATCCTCTGATCTGGCTGCAGGGCTCAGCTGATAGGATGTAGAATCAGACTCAGCCAAGGCCCTGGATTCAGCCCTTTGCTGGGCTTCCTAGTTCCTTGGGGCCACATTCTGTTCTCAAGGAAGGAAAATTTAGCAATAATATGGCCATTAGTGTTTACTGCCTTCAGTTCAAGGTCAAGTACTGGGAACTCCTCCGTAAATGACAAAACCAGCCTCTTGTATACAGTGCTCCCACGACCACTCTGATGGCAACTGAAGATACAAAAGGCCAGAGAGAGGTTGTTTATGTGGCTGGTAGGTGTGGGACGCTGGATTTAAATCTATCCAAAATGTTTCAATTGAATTTTAAGGCTGTGCTCAGGCCTAGAGCTGGGAGGAAGGTGTATCCAGGGGGAACAGACAAAAAGGTCAGCTGTCCCCTGGGCCGCTTCTCTGCCTGCTGTGGACAAGGACACCACCACAAGTGGCATGGAACTTGAAATGGGTCCCTTAGACTGTTCCAACAGTAAAGTCTGAGCATTTATGATTGGCCCTGCTCAGGCTCAGAGGTTGGGAGAAAAGAGACAGCCCTCGTGTCTGCCACTGTGTGATTTCTCTTCTTTAGGCCTTTTCCAAAGCTGGCTCTACCCTGGGGTTTAACCTTCTCTGTCTGGCCAGTTCATCTCTCCTGACTTCTCTAGGAAGAGGTTATAGGAATTGGTTCCTTGTTATCCCCTTCCATTTGTTGGGATCATCTTGTTTGTGCTCGTTTTTCTCACTGAGCATGTTAACACTGTCACCTTTAAGCGCTATTCCCCTACTTGCGACACTCTGCTAGCACATAAGTGCTTATTTGAAGTTATCTTTCTTTGGCTCTCACAAGACCATAAGCCTCCGAGGGCCACAGCTACGTCTCTGTTTGCTCCTAACGGTACCTCTGGGGCCCTGCCCAGGGCCTGGCACGTGGAGATCACAGCTCTGTGTAGGGATGTGGGAATCGAGCTGGGTTTGGGGACCAGATGGCCGTGAGGCTTGGCGACTAGCAGATGGCATCAGGGCTCAAGGACTCAGGTGCAGAGGCAGATAGGATCCAGGTGTGAAGGGGCTCGGGGGTGCAAGTGGAGGACATCATGAACTGTAGAAGGAATGGAGTGGATTCATTCATTTCCTGGGGCTGCTTTAACAAAGCACCATGAACTTGGCGATGAAAAGCAGCCGAAATCTATTTTCTCACAGTTCTGGAAGTTCAAAACCCATGGTGTTGGCCACGCTCCCTCCAAAGCCTCTATCCCCTCATAGCTCTCGGTGGCTCCTTGAGTTGCCAGTCTTTACTTCCACCTTCGAGTGACCTCTTCTCTTTCTGTGTGTCCTTTCTTCTTCTCGTGTCCTTTCCTCTTCTTTTAAGGAGACAAGTCTTTGGATTTAGGACTCAGTCTAATCCATTATGACCTCACGTTTATTTAATCACAAAGCAAAGACCCCGTTTCCAAATAAAGTCATATTCTGAGTCTCTAAGTGGACGTGAATTTTAGGGGGACTTCTTATAGGGGGTTACAAAGGTGACATTGGAAGGAGACAGGTTCTTTTCAGAAGCCAGTGCTTCCTGGGGCTGACATCACATCATGGGAAGGGCTCTGAACCTGATGAGAAAGTTCTGGATTCTCCAACCTCGCAGGGAGAGCTTTGGAGAATCCCTGTGCTCCCATGAGCCTCGGCTTCTTCCACTGCTCCATGGGCACCATGGCACCTTTCAGGATTTTTGTGAGACTCAAAGTGGTGGCTTCGAAGCTTTTTTGTGTTCTAAGGTGCTGTGAGACCAGGGTAGATATAGAGTTGTCATCTGTCGTACTCAGCACTATTTGACTGACCACCTCTTTTCTCCTTGCTAGGACCACTGCTTTTACCATGGTAGGGTGAGGAAGGCAGAAGAATCCAGTGTCACACTCAGCACCTGCCGGGGAATTCGGTAAGAGACCCTGGCGCTGCAGGAGAGCCTCTGCCGGTCCCCTGAGGAATGGGCTGACCCAAGGACCTTGGGAAAGGGGCCACTGGGACTGGGGGTGGGGGCAGCTCTGAGAAGGGCCACGCTTGGGGGATGCATGAGAAATCTGAGATAATCCACACTGACCTTTCCTGAGGAACTTGGTGTTTTAAAGTGAAGGTTTTATTATTGTTTGGGAATGGTGAGGGCCAACCAATGAGATGACTTACCACGAAGAAGAGGCTAATTCTCACAGAGAAAGGAAGGACCTACTCTGTCATGAGGAGCCTCATGGAAAAGTGCTGGGGTTGAGGGAGTGAGAAGTGAGGCCACGTGGCTTCTGTGGAGGGGTGAGTGAGCTGCATGCAGGTGAGGATCCCTGGTTTGAATAATTTCAGAAGCCTCTGGGCCCTGGGGACTCTGTCCTTTGTCTGGTACCTGGCCCCGGGGAGATAGGGCAGGTGATGAGGTGGAGAGGGTGAGGAAGGGCCCAGTACAGGAGGTGGCTGGAGTGTGCACTCTGATTGGTTGGCTTGCATTTGAAAGGCACAGGAGCTGGCGAGTTGTTTGCTATCTCTAGGGGTTGGCTAACTGTGGGAAGGTGGTCTGCCAGGGTGGGTGAGACCCCAGAAGTCAAAGCAACAGAAGACAGAAGAGACAAGACATGGTCAATATCAAAATTGAGTTTGAATATTTATTCCCACTTAGCCCTTCTGTGCTAGAAGGACTTAGAGCTACTGAAACAGGAAATGGGAAGTCAGTGAAAAGAGATGAGGAGAGAAAAGAGAGGCAAGGACAATTTTCTTTCTGTTTTTTGGTGGTTTTGGGCTTTGAACTCAGGGCCTTGTGCTTTCCAGGTAGACACTGTACCACTTGAGCCATGTCCTCAGCCCTTTTTACTTCTTAAATTATTTTTTGGGTGGGTAGAGTCTCGCTTTTTGTTCAGGGTCAGCCTTGGACTGAATTCCTCCTACTTACTTACACTTCCCAAATAGATGGGATTATAGCTATGGACCACCATGCCTGGCTTATTGGTTGAGATGAGTTCTTACTAACTTTTTGCTCAAGCTGACTTCAAACCTGATCTTCCTGATCTTCACCTCCCAAGTAGCTGGGATTATAGACATGAGTTGAAGTGCCCAGCCCCCATGGATAATTTTAGAGGCAGCAAATCAACTGAAAGTTCCAACCACATGGCACTTGGAAAGGAGAATGTCCTTTCCTTTTACAGGCCAGGCTACCTGGGATTGAGGCACTGGCAGTTTACCAGCTGGGTGACCACATTTGTAAAATGTGAATGGAAAGAGTACAGAATTGATAGGAGGATTAAGTGTGTTAGCTGCTATCTGACTGCTAGAACTGCAGTGGCACACGGTTAGCACTCAGTAGCCCCGAAAGCCTGGCTCTCCAGGTCTGGTCCTCAGAGGAATAGCATCAGTGCCACCTGGGAGCTTGGTTATAGTGCAGTATCTCAGATTCCACCCAGACCTGCAGAGTTACAATCTGCAGTTTATCACCATCCTCGGGTGACTTGTGTGCACATGTGCCTTGTACCTGACAATGTGTGTTCCTTCAGGATACGAATTAGACATCAAATACCAGTTTCCCTCCACCAGCCTGCCCTGGCACCTTGCGTCTAGTAGGATCTATACATGTGTGTTGAAATGATAAGTACCTCTTGTTTAGGCCCCTCCTGACCTCCCCTCTCTTACTTACTTCTTAATTTTTTTGAAAAGAGATGATGAGCCAGGCGAGGTAGCTCACACCTGCAATCTTAGGTACTCAGGAGGCAGATATCAGGAGGACCACTACTCGAGGCCCATCCATACAAAAAATTCCAGAGATCCCCATCACAACCAATAAAAAATTGGGGGTGGTAAAGCATGCCTGTTATCCCAGCTGCACAGGAAGCCTAATTAGATAATCCTGTTTCAAATATAATCAAAGCAAAAAGGCTATGCAGGTATGGCTCAGAAAGCCTGCCCAGTAAGCACAAGGTCCTGAGTTCAAATCCCAGTACCATCAAAAGAAAAATAGAAAGAAAAAGCAGGATTGATGATCCAAAAAACGTGGGTTTGATTGCCTGTGCTTTTTATACCCAGTGTGCTGGTGAACTAGGAAAGAGGAAAAAGTTGTGATTAGTCACTTCCGTCCACGTATTGATAATAAGTCTCCTACCACAGCCAGCTGGAAGCTACCAGCATGAGGTCATTGAAGGCAGAACTGGGAATCCATGCCCACCATTGGCTCTCGTGAGCTGGTGGATATGGTTCTTCTATGAGCCCTTTTTAAATCAATCGAGTCCTTCAATGATTGGTTTTTTCATTCAGTGAATTAATGTTGGGTGTCTAGTGTATGCCTGTGCCCTACACAGGTGAAGAACAAACAGGCATTGTCATTTTTCTGAGCCCGTTTCCTTGTGTGTACCGTAAGCATCAGTGACAGGCATGGTAGACTGCTTTAATGCTTTGTTAATTCCACAGCACTTGTGTCATTTGTAACAACAAGGCCACGCCAAGACCCAGCCAGATTCCATAAAAATCGAAGGCCCCTCTCACTGCAGGCCCCAGGTGTCTTAATGAATTGGGCCGAATCTCCTCTGTAAGGCTGTGTGCTCAGTCTCCAGAGGCAAAGAAGCAGGAAATGAGTTTTGGCCAGGAGGTGATAACAGAAAGGCCTCAAATCCCCTACTCAAGTGACCCAGTAGAGCCAAGCCAAACTGACTGGCCTCCAGTGGTGTTTACAGGCCTGGCCACCACCACCTGCAGTTTTCAAGTAAATAAAGTCCTTCCCAAGAAGGGGAAAAGGGAACATGCAGGTGTGACCCGCTTCTCTCTGCCTCCGCCTCTGTCCCGTCTGTCTGGAGCAGTGGGAACTTGGCTTGGTCTCCCATAAATCATTTCAGTAGCTGGGCTGGTGAGGGAAATGCACTCAGCTGCCCATGTGTTTCTGTTTTGCGTGCTTCCTTCTGGGGGTCTCCCTGCCCTGCTTTCCCTGCCCTCTCCCTCCCCATCAGGAAAACTATGCTGTGGGTAGACTGATTTAGGAGCTGAAGACTCATGTCCCATGGCTCCATTCAGGCCCTAGAGGAGGAGCAGCTGCCACAGCAGTGGCGTTGAGACCCAAGTTATGTCCCAAGGCTCCAAAAGCCACACTGCAGGGGGAAGTCTCCAGAGCCATTGTTCGTTCCTCCTGGGAACATGCTCCCTGTGACCGGGTAGGATTTCCAGTGGGGTCTGGAGGCTGATGATACAGAGACAGAGGGACCCAGTGGAACTTCAGGGTGGTTCCCTTCTCTCCAAAGCAGTTCTGCAGGTTCTTTGATAATTCAAGAAGTAATACCCCTCATAGAAAATAAATCCAAATAGTACACAAGAGTGTACAATGACAGATGGGTCTGTTTCTCACTCCAGGCTTCTAGATTTACCCCCTTTCCCAAGGCAACCACGTTTACCAGTTTTCTTGTGTATCCATTTGGAAAAACAACCTGCAAAAGAGAACCGGGATATGTAGTACGCTTACTCGGACGCCTAGCCCCTTTGAGAATGGGGTCAGTTAGTGACTATGGGTTCTTATAGACTCAAAGGGCTAGCATACTATTTCACTGGGAATGCCAAGTGGCCACGCCCCCAAATGTATCAGATTAAGGACCCATCATCTAAATGTCACCCCAACTTCTGGCATGCGCAAATCCTTTGTAGCTAGCACACGGTATAAATGGAAAGAGTGATTAGCACTTGTGAAGAAATCTAGGCAGTACACTGGGCTGTGGTGTCTGACTGAGCCTGTGTATTCTGGGAAACTCTGCTTGTGCGTGTGCGTGTGTATGTGTGCGTGTGCATGTGTGCGTGTGCGTGTGTATGTGTGCGTGTGCATGTGTGCGTGTGCGCGTGCGCGTGCGCGTGTGCGTGTATCTGTCGTTCACTGTCAGCAGGAGGAGTACGTGATTGCAGTTGTTGGTTTTTAAAGACAAGGCTATTGAAAACTTCCACGATGCAACGAACACAGTTTTAGTGTTAAATATTCAAATATACACACACGTGTATATATGCATTATATAAAATGAGACCATTTTTTCCAACAAGGCATATGTCTTAGGTACACACGGATCTATCAAATTATTTTAATGGCCTGGTTTAATATCTTATGTACTAATTCTGGCAAATTTAAGTACATAGTCTTTCAAAGGTAAGGTGTATGATAACACTCTTCTCAGTGATGTATTTGATGGGCCAGCCTTCCACGACAGCAGCTCTGTCCTCCAAAAATCTCCCACTCACATAAGTTTTGCCTTAACCCTGGCCCCTGAACACAGAGTCTGTGTGAGAGGGAGATTGAGAACCTGAGACTAGGGATGCATGCAGGAGAGCGTGTACACATGTGCATGGTGGCTTGGAATGAGCTCAAAATTTGGAGACCTGGCTGTGTGATCTGTGTGCTTTCCTCTCCCCATTTTCTTTTTATCTTGTCTTTATCTTGGCCAGGCTGGTACCTGCCCTGGGCCTTGCTAAGTCCTGGGAGTGGGGTGTGACAGTGGTGTTGGTGTGAGGCTCCACCCCTGAAAAATTATAGCCTGGACTTTAGCAGACCTGCCATCTGTCTACCCGTCATTAACTCACTGGGTAATCCTGGGCAAGTTCTTTTTTTTCTGGTCTTTCTCTCATCTACAAAACCAGAGTAGACTGGATCAACAAAGCACCCTGTAGCATGGGATGCTGTGGCTGCAGGGAGAATGAGCAGAGCTGCGGGAGGAAGTGGGGGCCTAGGGCAGGAGGGGGTGGCTGTCTGCTGGCAGCCACCCCTTGGGAAGAGTTATGGTCCTTCCTCCTTTGGAAATCTTGCCTTCCTTTTGCAGAGAAGATAATAAATGCTACCTTCCTGTCCGGCACTGTGTGGATTAAGCCCTCAGAAGGCGGTACCATTAAGATGTGGAAAGTTTAGGTTCTACAGTCCGACAATTCCTGGTTTAAAACCTAACAAGTTACTGCAGTTCCCTACTTTTCTCACCTGCAAGATGGGAACAGTAGAATTGATGTCATTGGTGGACTCACATTAGGTGTCAAGCTCCTTGACAGCGGGGACTTGTTTTTGATTTTAAGTACTGAGGTTTGAACTCAAGGCCTATGCCTTAAGCCGCTCCACTAGTCCTTTCTCTATGGTATATTTTTTTCAAGAGAACATCTCGCAAACTATTTGCCCTGGCTTCAAACTGCGATCCTCCTGATCTCTGCCTCCTGAGTAGCTGGGATTACAGGCGTGAGCCACTGGTGCCCAGCTAGCAAATTTGTTTTGGTCACATTGTGTCCCCAGGGGCTAGAACAGCTACTGTCACACAGTGTCCAGTGCAGATGTTGAACATCTGCTGAAGAAAACATTTTGCACCTTGCTTGATAGACATGTTTAATGACTATTAGCTGTTCTTTTTAAAATGTCGCGTGGGTCACCAGCAAACATTGCCTGTTGCCTTGGTCCATTATCATTGCAGACCTGTGAGATGGGCAGAATCATTACCAACGGTAAGTGAACAACAGCTAGGAGACAGCGGAGCCCAAATTTGAAACCAGGAGGGTCTCACCTGGGAGCCTCAGCTCTCTTCCTGTGCTCTGCCACCCCATCCAAGAGGGAGCATAGGACCTGTGTGCCTTCTCTTCTGCCTCTGAAACTTCTTGTCACCCCTTCCACATGTATGCAGATTGGGGAGATTGGGGAATGTGGGGGCAGGGGGAGGAAGGAATGAGAGTAGTCATGTCTTAGGGCAGCTCTAGCTATAGGGATGACGGTTGTGTCCCCATGCGTCTAGCTGTGAAGGGACCAGTTTTCAGGAGGCAGCTCTTGCTTAGTTCTTTGAAGGATGGATCTAGATGAGTCCTTCAGTCCTTCACGGGTTAGGTGCACACCACCTGGTGCATGCCTGGCCTGGCCTGGCCTGCCCAGGTTCCTCAGTGCAATTTCATTTTTATCACGATCTTAATTATGAGAAATGGGATGGTGAGCAGAGTGGGGAGTAGCGTGTAAGCTACTGACCCAGCCTCTTAGGCTGCCCATCTCTGCCTCCTGGCTGACCTCTGCCAGTGCTAACATTTAGCAAATTAGATCAACCGAGGCTCTTAGGAGGATAAATGACTGCTGGTGTACAGGACAGGGCACTTAGAGGACTTGGAGGTGAGGACAAGGGAGGATCCCCAGAACCACATTCTCAGAAATTCCCTATCAAAAAGCTAGGGTTCACTGTAAAGTGCTGGACTTGCACCTGCCTTCCTCCATCCTCAGGCAGTCCAGAAGGATTACAGCTGGGGCACAGGGTGAGTTACCAGGGCCACAGTGCAGAGGAGGAGGAGAGTGGTCCACAGGATCCTCCTGCCACAGAAGTCAAAGTGGTCTCTTTAGAGACCTGTGTTTCTCAAACTGGAACCCACCCACTCCCTGGACAGAATCTCTTGGGGCCTCTGAAAGGCCACAGGGCCAAAGTTCCTGAGTATGGCTGGGCAAGGAATGGCCTGCAGGACTCCTGCAGATAGATGCTCAGAGCCGAAGAATACAAGTCTTCCAGGTTGACCAGGACATCTGTGATCTCCTCACATTCTCTCAGACTATCCCACTCAATAGCTCTGGGAGCTCCTGCCCTCAGGATCTCTGAGCACAGTTTTGGAATTCACCGGTGGAGGGAAAGAGGACAAGGGCCAAAGTCTGTGGCCCATATCCATGGCCCCAGATGACCTGTGATGGCTTCTTACTTAATCTTTCTGAGCCTGTTTCCCCATCTGTAAAGTGAGACCCTTGCCAGGCGCTGGTGGCTCATCCCTATAATCCTAGCTACTCAGGAGGATCCTAGCAGAGATCAGGAGGATCAAGGTTTGATGCCAGCCCGGGAAAATAGTTTGCGAGACCCTATCTTGAAAACATCCATCCCAAAAAGGGCTGGTGGAGTGGCTCGAGGTGTAGGCCCTGAATTCAAACCCCAGTACCACAAAAAAATAAATAAAAAGTGAGATCCATGTATTGTGGGGATGAGACGAGAATAACATTAGTAAACTCAGCTGATGGCGTGTGGCAGCTCTCCATAAATGTTATCTCAGGGTGGAGAGTAGACTGAATTCTCCCTTTGTCATCTCATCTCCCAGAGCAGCGGTATCCTACTGGTACCCAGGCCAGTTGGGTCAAGGTTGATTACCCCTCAGGAGAGAGCTGATGGCACTGTCACCACATGTAAAGTAGGAATGCCTTTCTGACTCACTCTACTGGGTAGTAGTGTAAGGTCAGGGTCAAGGTTGTAGGACTTGGACCACAACTGAGGTTCCATCCACTGGTCTTATTCACTCTTACTACCTGTGTGACTTTGGTTTAGTTAATGAACCTTGCTGAGCCTTAGTTTTCCCATTTGTACTGTGGGCATAATAATACTTACAAGATCAGAAGTTGGTGGGAATAGTGAGATGCATACAAGCAAGGTGCCTAGTCCATACATAGCAAGTAATAATTTATGACCACTATGGTGGTTATTACCCACTAGATTTTGGCTTGATCTCTGTCTTGTTTGGTCCAGCAGCTCATTCATGTGATAAACCTTGTGGCCCTCCACTGGCACTTCCACCACTTTCCATATGGAACTTTCCGCTCATTGGGCATTATCTCAGCAGGCACACCCTGAGCACATGGGACTACCAGTTGGTTTGTGGTCCAGCTCTTTGCATTACCAACATTGTAGGAGTTAGGGGAAACTGAGGTAGTCATCTGGGATGAGGAGATAGCTTGGGAACAGGATGCCCATAGCAGCTCTGGCCTCTGCCCTTCCTGTTTGGATCAGGGAGTGGATGTGACCCTTGCTCGTTGCCCACCCCACCCCAGCTATTGAGGGAGTACCTTAGGCGTGCCACCCAGGGCCAGACAGATGTGGCTGTGTCAACCTGGGGGAGATAGCTGGGAAGCTGCCAGGCTCTCTGACACAGGATGAAGTCGGCCACGGATAGGATCTGGGCAGGGCTACAGTCCACCAGCACCTAGTGATGTCTTTCCTGAAAGTGTCACAGGCTCTCTGACAAAACCTGGGCCAGCATCCCAAGAGGTCAGTGATAGGGCTGAGACAGCCTAAGAGAGCAGCCCTGCTAGCTCACAGTGGCAGGGACTCTGAGCTGGAGGTACTTTAGGTTTGGAAATCTCTAAAGGACCAGAGCCTGAGTGAGGTTTTGGAGTTATAGGACCCTGGGGACTTTGTCCTCTCTGGGGCCTTGAGCTCATTCCCATGCTGGGTCGTCCACTTCACTGTATGGAGGAGGGCAAGTAGCTGTTGTGTGGGCTCTCCCCACCTTCCACTCCTCACCTTCCACTGACAGCGTGCAAGAGCAGCAGATAGTAGGCGTGAGCTCACTCTCAGCTCCTGGCTGATGTGCGTTCTAAACATCTGTGTGTAACCCATCAGTGTGAGGGTGGGAGATCCCTGTTCCATGTGACAGTGACTTATTCCATCATTCAGACTATGCTTCATGAGGGCAGGCACTTTGTCCTGTTCACTACACCATCCTTGCAGCTAGTACAGTGCCTGGCACATAGCAGGAGCCTAGCAAATGCTGGTGGAGTGGATGGCTGTCCTCTCCGTGGACTGAGAGTTACAGTTGGTTTTCTATACCAGGGCTTCCACTAGTGCAGATTCAACCAAACGTGGATCAAAAAGTTCCTTTTAAAAATAATTTGCATCTCCATTATACATATCAGACCTTTTCTTGTCATTCCCTAAAGACTACAGTATTAACTATTTACATTGTAGTAGAATAAGTAATGTAGAGCTGATTTATGAGATGGCGTGAGTAGGTTACATGCAAATTCTGTACCATTTTCTACAGGAGACTTGAGTGTCTATGATTTTGGTATCCTCCATGGTCTGGAACCAATCCCCTGTGGGTATCAAGGGATGACTGTACTTAAGGACAAAGTTTAGATTACATCTAGACTTTGTGAGTTTAGATTATATCTAGCACAGAGTAGAATCTCAAAAGACTAAAATGAATGAACACACATCTTTATTTTGAGTTCAATGCTAGAATCTCTAGTCAAGGGGAAAAGCTGTCACACATGCTTCATTGTGGATGTCACTTCATGACCCAGTTGCCTTGTCAACATGGGACAGTTAGAGCAAGTAGGAATGTCATCAGTAGTGCACCTGAAGCTTTGGTCTTCAGGCTAAGGACACTTGTCTTTCATTTAATTATCCAAGAGTCCTGGTAGTTAGAAAATCATCATTTCCATTTTAGAGACGACGAGACTAAGGGTTGAAGTGATTTGACCAAATCTTGAGCCTGGGTCTGCTCCTCTCAGGCCAGCATGCTTTCTCTGGCCACTGTGCTGCCTGTTCTGAGTCTGTAAAGTTCTGACCTGTGACTGGTCATATGCCATGGTTGGTTCAGAAGACATTTTGGAGTTTGGGTCAAAAGAGTCATCTGAGCTTTGGTAGTTCAGAAACTCTTAACATGGAGTCCTAGGATGAGCTTATGGGGTCCAAGTGTCCTGAGATTGAACGCCCCATCTCTATACCTGAGAAGATGTCTGAGTTTGCGTCAGACACTCACAAAGGGGTGCAGGGCCCCATAATGAGGTGAAGAACTAATGACCAAACCAAATGTGCCATTACGCCAGGGACTTTTCTAAGACTGTGATCTTTGACCAGAGATTCTGTTTCTCCTATCAACAGAGGACTGATTACAATGAGCAGTAACCTTAGCTATGTCATCGAGCCCCTCCCTGACAGCAAGAGCCAGCACCTTATTTACAGATCTGAACATCTCAAGCTGGCCCCTGGGAACTGTGGGTTCAAGCACTCCGAGCTCACCACCAGGAACTGGGCCCTTCAGTTTACACAACAGACCAAGAAACAACCTCGCAGGGTGAGTTTCAGGCTCTGTACAGCAGTCAGCCTGGGCTAGGCTTATCCCTTCTGGGCACCCATACTTTGAACCCAGGATGGCTAAGAAGGAGGAAAAAATTTTCTTCTTTTATCTAAATCATTTTGAATGTGAGCTATCCTCATACACGACTAACTGTTTGGAGGGAAAACACTACTATGTTTAAAGTACTCTGAGATATTAAAGATATTAATTTCTGAAACTGTAAAAGGTGAAAACGATGCATGTCTCCCCTTCTGAAATAGCCACTACACCCTCTGCACAAAATGTTATGACTGCAAATGGAGGTGTGTGGTCTAATGGTTATCTGGGGACGTGGTTGTCTCCCTGGGGTTGGCCTCAGTTCTGCCTGTACTAGCCAGCCCAGTTCATTGTTTTCTGAGGATAAAGGACTGGATCCCATGTTCCAGAGCAGCTTTGGGGCTGGGGGGGAGGTGGGAGGCACAGTAAGAATGAAGGCCACAGCCAGGGCTCTCTAGCACCCAAGTACAAAATAAGAATGATGGTGTACTGCCTATCACTTACGCCTGTTCCTGAGCAGTTTTTTGGTTTTGTTTCTTTAATGAGGTCGAGTGCACCTTTCCTACAGCTCTGATCTGCTTCTGTCTCTTTCTTAGATGAAAAGGGACGATTTATACTCCATGAAGTATGTGGAGCTCTACCTCGTGGCTGATTACGCAGAGGTAAGGGGGGGTGGTGTTTTAGCAGGCTCTCTCTTTTTTTTATTTTGTTTTTAGGACTGCCGCTCTCTTGACAGTTTCCATCTGCTTTGGGGAAATGCTGACACATTCATCTTTCCCTGGTTTATCATCTAAATTTGACCTTCAGTCTGACTGAGGGACTTTTGTCATTTTAAACAGTTAGGAAAAAACAAAACAAAACAAACAAACAACAACAAAAATCCACAAGGAAAGCCTGTCTTAGCTCACTATACCAATCAGATAGAAAACTAGGACAGTTACCTAAATTGACATTTCTCAGACAGAGGCTGAAGACCCTTAGGTTCTGGTATTTATTCTCAGGGGGTCTGTGAATTCTGTAGAGAAAAAAAAATTAAATTCTATTTAACAAAGATAGTAAGTGCATTTTCCATCATCTGAATGATTGCATATGATTTTCTTGCTCATCTGTGGATCCATTTTAACAACCCTGGTAGTGCCAATGGCAGTCCAAAGCCATGCTACCCAAAATATGGTCCCCCTACCACCAGCATCTTGGAATCTGTGAAAAATGCACATTTCCAAGTGCTACCCCAGATCAACCAACTAAATCCTAAACTGTCAGGGTGAGGTCCAGCAATCCACATTTTAACAAGGCCTCCTGGTGATTACGATGCACAAGTGAGCTTGGGAAGCACTGACCTAAAGGAATAGTAAGGTGGCCCTTAATTCCGAGTCCTTAAATAGGACAGGCTGGAGGACTTGATGAGCACTCACCTGACTTGATTTCCTGAGTCTCTGGGATGTGCAAGCCCAGTGCTTGACACCAGAATACAGCTCTCGAGAAGCAAGACCTGCTCCTGGCTTCACAAACTTTGCAGTGACAGCACAAAACCCATATTCCCAAAGGGTAATAAGCACTAAGATAGACCCATAGGGTGCACAGAACAAGGGATACAACACAGTTTGGGGAATGTTAAAGTCAGCCCCTGAATAGTGGGTTTGGACCCCAGAACCAGTGTTTGCCTGCATCAGCCAGATGTTACCTCTGGTTCTTGCTTTATACAGTGCTTCAGCCACAACCAAGCACCTCAGCCACAACAAAGTATAGCTTCTGCACACTGGACCACCTCTGTGAACTGAGCACTCACTGTTCTGAAGTGCTGTACACTTGCCTGGGCTCCCCAAGGGCAGAGCTTATCACTAGGCCCCTCCATCTCATAGGCTACTAGCTCCCCAAAAGGCTACATTCTATGGTGGTTCTACCTAGTCCACAGTCCCACAGTGTGGATCCTGGGGCCAGTACAGGCGGTAGAGAGACGTGAGGCTTCAGGCCTGAGAGCTGCCTTCCAGAAGTGTTGGTGGTCCTTGAGTTGTCTTAAAGGACAAGGAGGAGTGAACTGGGCAGAGTGGAGGTGAAGGACATTCCAGGGAAGGAACACTGTGTTCCTTTTGAGAAGTGTAGCTTTGAAATTGACATTGGTATTAGTTTTTCCAGCAGCTTGTGTGTGTGTTCTTGACTTTTATGTCTACTCCAAAAACTAGCATGTGTATAGGATGGGAGAACAATGTGGTGAGCAAGGTCCAAGGCTGATTTCAAAGCCAGCTGAGCCCCGCCCCATCCCCACTTAGCCCTGCCTTTTGGGGGCTGCCCTTACCTTATAGTACCAGGAAGATCGCTGAGAAAAAGCCAAGCCCTCCTAACCCCTGACTCCGTGACAGTTTTCTATTTAAGCCCTGATTCTAAGATCATCTGTTATAGAGGTCTCTAGCCATTTTTCTCAGCCACAGAATCCTTTGATCAGCTAAAAGCTCCTGGGTCCCCAACGGTCAAGCATACAGAAGCCCCACTGCTCTAGTTGAAAGGAGGGGCGTTTTCTTCCAGAGGAACTTTGGTGCAGGGTTTTAAAACCCACTGTATGTGAATCTCAGCGGAAATTGGGCCTCTTGAGTTTCCTGACATCCAGGGTCACAGCAAGTCCAGGGAGGAAAAGACTCCTGGTGCCTCCAGGGCTGTGGTGTCACCTGGTGCATCTTCCTGTTTGGAGGTAAGTGCCTCCAGCACCAGTGGCACAGACATTCCCGACCCGGGCCCCCACAGGACTGTGATTCCTGCAGCTGAGGTGGAGAAGGAAATACGCTCATTTCACAGGCTTCAGTGATTTATGTGAAGAGCGAGGCGGGGGTGGAATAGACCAGGCTGGATTCGCAGGCTCTGGAATCAGCTCCCTCCTCCCTTCTCTCCCTCCCTCTCCCATGGGCCTCTCACTCTCTGCAGGCAGAAATGTATTCTTGACAATTAATCTGAGAGGAGAGGACAAGAAGACAGGAAACAGGAGGGCTGCTTTACCCGTGATTTACAACCCTGGTGCCGAGACAGGATGGCCTCCTCTGGGCTCTGAACTCAGAGCAGGGAGTGGAGACCCTGATGGGGAAAGCAGAACACAATTGAAGAGAGCTCCTGGGGTTGCTCTCATTCCTTAGTGAAACAGAATCCAAGAGGAACAAAGAGTAAGGTTCATGTTGGAGGAGGGGACAGCACAGTGTAAACACAGGCCTGTGAAGAACTTCCATGATTCCCACAGGATGTGAGGTGGTGGGGAAAGGATAGTGATGCACACCATGTTGTACTTCCGGTATCACCTGAGAAAATGTAAGGTTGAGATTTGTTTTATTTTCTTTTTAGTTCAGGGATTCTATAAACTATAGCCCCTGGCCAAATCCAGCCCACCAGGTGGTTTTGTAAATAGTTTACTAGAACACGGCCACTCCCATTGGTTTATCCATGGCTGTTTCTAAGCCAGCAAGGCAGAGCTGAGAGGCTATGGCAGAGACTGTGTGGTCCACAGAGCCCAAAATATTTACTATCTGGTGCTTTCCAGAGACGGTTACTGACTACTGCTTCATACTATTTTAGACAACATGATACATGCCTTCAACTATGGTGGCCTTACTAGGCCTTACTGTTTGAGGATAGGATTAATATATTTGAAAGACAATAATAAATATTTACTAAATGAATGGAAATGGTGCAATACTTTCTGTGCCATAAGACCGGTTTTGAAATTGGGAGGTCTTCATGATGGAACTTCTGGATGAATTCTTCGGAAAGGTCTGCATCACAGAGTCTTAGATTTAACTTTGTAGGAAGCAAGGGTGACAGTGAGATTCTCTTCTGGTGAGTGATGGTCCTGGAGAAGCCCAGTAAATAACGTCCAATATAGTGAGAGAGGGAAATGGGGAGTCTCTTCCCTGCACCAAGGCTGGGCCACGCTCCTGGCCAACAAATACCCCAGTGTGTTGGGGTTCATTGGCTGTTCATTTTGTTCCTTGATTGGCTATTCCTGTGGAGTGGGTGGAGGAAGACTGTGAAGGCTTAGAAGTGAAGTAACAATATAATGTACGTCTGTGGTAAACCCAGATTCTGTGTACCAATGGCAGCATACAGACGCGCCCACCATTTGCAAATTTAAGTTGCAATTACAGAACACTTTATCTTTACACCGTGAAGCTTTACTTCGTTATTGTAGTTGAAAGAGACCATTGCTTTTGAGGCAGGAGCAGTAAACATGAGGTACTCATCCTCCTTCCAGTACCCACGGCAGACATTTCTAACCAAGCACAACACTCTTTTCTCTGCTCGATTAGCAACATCTGATATCAGTCTTATGAAGTCTCAGAATTCTCACAGCAGAAGGCACTGCCAGGTGATCTGAGTGGCATGCATGATGAATCCTGTTTGCTAACGTCCTGTTGGAGCACCCACCGTGTGCCATTCGTCTGGCCTCCCTCCGCAGTTATTTCTGTGCGTGTTTTCTCAGCAGTTTTAGTAGGGCATTTTAATTGGGTGCTCCTTAAACACAGATCTGTCATTACAATTATTTCTAGTCCTCTCACCATTCTATTGGAGGTCCTCTAGCCTGGAACCAAGACCTCACACTCACTTTGTCCCAACTAGTGCTCAGCATGGTACCTTGTCATAGCAGTGGTCCAGCAGTGACTTGACAAGCATGCAGGAAAGCCTCATGAGAACTGGGGTGATGACCCAGGCAGGGATCGATCACTCCCTCTTCTAAGCCCCAGGGCCCTTGTACCCTGAAGGACAGGAAAATAAGACTGACTTCAAAGACTAGAAGAAGAAAATTCAGTTCATTAACTGTCATTCCTCCCCATCTGTGCCCAGCATTGAGCTGGAAGAGGGAGGTATCTGTGACCAGGTCCTGCACTCCCTGAGCTGTCACTGTGGTAGGGAAGACAGTTGCATAAAAATGACTCACAGAAGTCAGAGGAAAATGAGAACCAATTCAAAGACAAGTAATGAGGCCCAGGAGGCGCCCTGGAAGAGGCTCTGGAGTCTCACCTGGTTCTGTTTTTCCATTTAGTTTGAGAAGAATGGACGAGACCTGGACGCCACCAAACGCAAGCTCATAGAGGTTGCCAACTATGTTGATAAGGTGAGACCAGGTGTGTACGTGGTGGGAAAGGCAGCAGCAGCTCTGAGGAGGGGCAGGAGGCCTACTCACCTGAGCTGCTCCTGCTGGATTGGCCACCCCAGCAGCTTCTAAAGGGGATGAGCTGAGCCACAGAGACCCAGTGAGCCTGAACTACGTAACCTAAGGCAAATCTTTATTTTCTGTTTTAATTTATAAATCAATGAATTTCACTTGTTTTTGGTTTTTTCCAATGGAATCCTTTTTGCATTCTTTAAAATTTATTTTTTATTTAATTTTTTTTCCTTTGGCAGAACAGGGGTTTTTTTTTGGGGGGTGGGGTGGAACTGGGGGTTTGAATTCAGGACTTCACACTTGTAAAGCAGGCACTCTATACTTGAGCCACACCTTCAGCCCCCGATCTTGGATTTTGAACTCAGGGCCTTGCATTTGCAAGGCTGGAAAAGGGCCAGCCCTTTTTGCTTTAGCTTAATTTTCAGACAGGGTCTCATATGTTTACCCAAGACCAGCCTCAGACACAGTCCTCCTACCCATGCCTCCCTTTCAGTGGGAATTATAGATGTGCTCAACTATCTCCTGCTCGTTGGGTGAGATGAGGGTCTTGATAATTTTTTGTTCAAGCCAGACTCAAACCATAATCCTCTCAATTTCTACCTCCCAAGTAGATGGGATTACAGGCATTTTCACTGCACCTGCACCTAGCCCACAGAATCCTTTTACAACATGAAATCTTATGCCAGTGCCTATAAGTCAGATGGAAACAGATAGAAACAGATGGCTCTAAGCAGAAGCTGGGGTGAGCATCCAGAGCTCTGCCCTTCTGACCCATTCCTGTCATTCTGCAATGGCTCCTGAGGAACCTAGATCATGGAAGAGCCCAGTTTAAGGATGCTTTATGGTCTCTAAAGTTTCCTTCCAGGTATAAAGCCCAGTGGTTCTCTGACTTAGGAGAGAACTGAGGTCCCTCAGGACAGAAAAATACACAGCCTTAATAGGGTTGTTTGGGACTAGCGTGCAGTCTTGTCTGTAAAACTGTCTTCTTATTTATTTATTTATTGCGGTACTGGGGCTTGAACTCAGGGCCTCACGCTTGCTAGGCAGGTGCTCTACCACTTACGCCACTCCGGCCTGTCTTCTTATCATGTCTGTCTCTCAGGAAGACTGCAAGTGGTTAACTTTCTAGGTCAGGACCATTTACAACCTGCTCTTAGGAAATGCCCAGATTTTTGAATTTTACTAGAACAGATTGGCTTTGGACTTAGAAATACTCTTCTCCTGAAAGAAGGTTCTAGAACAAGAAGGTAACCTAGAATGAGAGCACCTCCTGACAGGCTAGTGGTGGATAGTTTCACAAGTAAGTTTTCCCATGTTTGGGATTCCACGTGTCTCTGAGGATCTGATGATGTGAATTGTATAATTTCTGACCACTCCTAAAACTTTGAAAGCATAACTCTGGGCCTGCTTGCTCCTTGATAGAAAGGGGAATTTTTTTTTTTTTTAATCATTGGGGGATAAAGATGAAAAAGTGGAAATTTTTAGGGACTAACAAGTAAATTGGGTAGTGTTCTGAGGTCATCAGCTGAAAAGTTCTCAGCCTCATATTTTTGCATTTTTTGTTCTGGTTCAGTGGCTCTGCAAACACAGGCCAGTTGATGAGTGACAGGTGGAAGTCAAACTCTAGCATTTCCAGGAAGGAAGAACTCTGGGAACACAGTTGAGCCCTCTCTCCAACTCCCAGCTCCCTCAACAATATTTAAACGATCCTACAACCCAAGTACTCTACATCTGTGAAAACAAGGATAGCTCGTTTTCCTGGGGGGCGGGCGGGTAGACAGAGGCAGACCCTGCTGTCACCAAGGGCCATCCATTGTTCCTGAGACCAGGCAGGTGGGGACTTAGCTGAGTCTCCTTTTCATGAACTCCAGCTGGTCTGGGTAATAGAAGCAGGGGTGCTGGTGAGAAATGGAAGGAGTGTGTTAATGACAAAAATCAAAAAAGAAAAGAAAAAAAAAATGGAGGGAGAAAAGCAGCTGCAAACCCAGACCTCTGTTGGTGCCCCAGGCCTGGCAGCCCCTTCGAAGCCACTTGTCTTTCCCTGAGCTGCTGAGGTCAGTCCCTCCCAGAGCGAGTGAGCCGAGGCACACCCACTTCTGTGAAGCTGGCTGACCACCTACTTGAACTGAATGTTGTTGAGCTCCAGCTGGGATGAACCACATTCAGTTGCTGAGTCAGGAACCCAGTCCACCAAGTTCATGTCCTTACAAAACTCCCCAGAGAAACAAATTCAACTGGAGTTGGAGTCTTATATTTTCCATAACAGTCGCTGTGGCACAAAACAGAAATGTTTCTGTAGAAATAAACTGATGTGTCAGAAGATCAGGCCCCAGCATAGACCACAATTTCTTGGGGGCAAAGCATAAATTCCCCATCCCTGTAGCAGTACAGGGTCACGCGTGCTCTCCGAGGCTCTAACCTGGCCTTCATCCTGACTCCAGCATCTTCCTGCTGAGACTTCTAACAAGATCCTTACCCTCTCTGGGCCTCAGTGCTTACTTAATATGTAGAAAGTGCTTGACACACATTGGTGCCCTGATTATTTTTAGTTGGGGCAGTTCTTGCCAATTCTGGATTGGGGTGGTGTCTCTTGCTCGTGTGACCTTTGCATACCTGGGTCTTTTTTTTTTTTTTTTTTGCCTTTAAGTCATTGGCTTAGTAGCCTCAAGGGAAGACCCATCAAAGAGCCTCTTGATAGACATGCCGCCTCCCCTCTCCCTCCAGTTCTTTTTCTTTTCCTCTAGTTCAGTCTTCTCTAAGTAAAGATACATCAATTCTGCCACCAGAGTGTCGTCCATCTCCCTCAGGGTCTCAGTTTCCCTTCTGGAAATCATGAAAAGGACCTGTTCCCTCCTCCCTTTGGCACCGGGGTAGAAGAGAAATATGGTGTCTGTGCTCTGGGCTGGGAGGGGCCTTATGATCCCACATGGGGTTGACAGAGGTGGTGGCTTTTTGTGTCTTTTCAGTTCTACCGGTCTCTTCACATTCGGATTGCTCTCGTGGGCTTGGAAGTCTGGACTCACCGGAATATGTGTGAGGTTTCATCAAACCCGTACTCCACCCTCTGGTCATTTCTCAGGTGGAGACGTAAGCTGCTGACTCAGAAGCACCATGACAATGCTCAGCTAGTCACGTAAGTGACCTTTCTGAGTGTGCGTTGCCTTGACCTTGACCTCTGCCCACAGAGCAAGGACTCACACTTTGCCCTGTCTTTCCCCAGGGGTGAGTGTTGCTTGTATAAGGTCCTCCTGGCTCCCTGGTCCTGATACTGGGGCATTTCTCAGACATGTGTTCTGTGCCTAGCACACCTTGCAAAATATTAAAAAGCCTAAGAGCCAGAACAGTCTTCTAGCCACAATCACGCGAGCAACTGAAAGCCCTTTGAGTGTGTATTTGAGGAGTGTGTGTTTGGTCATGAATAATCTGAAACAGACTTTGTTCTAGTTCATTAGTTCATTTCCTACCACAGGCATGGGAAAGGGGTTTCCTTGGGTCATCCTGCACTTGCTTCCCAAGGGGCACAGGGCCGGGTGCCTGAGGAAGTCCAAGTGACAGTGAGGGAACTGTGTGATTGATGGGAGGGAGACACTGGGGAGGGACTGTGTTGGGTTTCTATCAGCTTCAGAGAGAAAAGAATACACACCGATGGGCTAGTATACGACAGTCCCCAAAGGATGATTGTTTAGTACTTATCAATGTGGACGCCAAAGGTATTTTGAGGCAAGTTACAACGAAATGCACATAGATAATAAAACTCTTTTTCTTCTGTTCCCTAAATATTATTTTTAGTCAGCAATCATTTAAATCGTAGTTTACCCTTTAAAAGTAACAGTAAAAATAACTGTCCCAAACACCTGGACTATGTCACTCCATGACAGTCCATTCACTCAGGAAGAGTTTTCAGTTATCAAAACTTTTGACCTGAATTTTGGAAGCATGATGTCCTGCTTTGGGCAAGAACTTGAATCTAGATTTCCAGTAGGTCTTCCTCAGAGTCAAGTGCAAGTTTATAAAATAACAGGTAGGGCATGGATTTTGTACATGCCTTTGCAGATTGCCCCCTCTGAAGATGTCTGCCTTGCATGTGGCAAACATTTATTAAGAGCCCACCCTGCACCCGATGTTTTGCTAGGTTCTAGCCATCCCCAAATAAAACAGGTAGTCTCACTCTGAAAGAGATGGTGGTCTACAGAAGACCCACTGCAGATTAAGGACTATGTACTGAATTTCCACAGAGATCCTTTAAATGGATTGCATGTTTGCAACATGCACTGGAATTTCACTTATTCCTTCTCTCCTACCCTGGCTGTATACAGCTGAAAGAGGGATGTCACTAAAGTGTAGCTGGCTGTCGACAGATTAGAATCATAATTGCAAAACAAAGACAGAAACAGCTCAGCCTTGAACCCAGCTGCACTTTCGAGGCTCCTGATGGGATGCAGCTGTTTCCTTGGCCCCCAAGTGATGTGAGGATGAGGCATCAGCCCTACAGCTGCTGCTCAACCTTCTCACATGCCTCCCCCCTTTCCTCCCTCCTCCCCCACCCAGATACCACAGAGCCAGGACTGAGGCATGGGACCCTGGCAGCTGGTGGAAGTGGGCATGATTCACTTCAGCGTTAAAGCCTGTACCACCCTTCCATCCGTCCTTCCCTCTGACCTTTTCCTGTGCAGCAGGAATAGGACAGAACTTTGCGAGTTCTGCCTGTTTCCTCCCATGGAATTGGCTATGGGCACAATGGAGGGAAAGAGTGACCTTTCACTCCCTGTGTTTCTCGGAGCTGTGAGGGAGGAAGTGAGAGGTGTGGTGACCTGAAAGTTGTCTAGTTGGCAGGATTCCAGAGTCCTCCCCTTGGGAATGATATGGGATTGTCAGTGGGACCAGAGAATAACATGATAGCCACCTACTCTTGTCACATTGGGAACAGCCCTCTTACCTGAGCCATCTTATCTCCTTCCCTCCTGCAGGGGTGGGGCCTTTCAGGGCACCACCATTGGCCTGGCCCCGCTCATGGCTATGTGCTCTGTGTACCAGTCTGGAGGAGTCAACATGGTGAGTTTCAGCCAATATGCGAATTCTGAAGAAATTGATAAAACTGCCTCCTACCCAGGAGGCCATTTTTTTGGTACTAGGATTCGAACCTCATATTTGCTAGGCAAGTACTCCTACCTCTTGAGCCATGTCCCTGTCCTTTTAGTTTGTATCTCAAGTAGAGTCTCATGCTAACTTTACCTGGACTGGCCTCAGACCACAATCCTCCTACCTCTAACTTTTTGTTTATTTTATGTTTATTTCTATAGAAGATTAATTTTATGTTTATTTCTATAGAAGGTTAAAAACTCTGACACCAAGAAGGATGATTGTTTAAAACGAAGTCATTTGAGTTCTAAGACCTGGAATTATCCATGGGTGAATTTTCATTTTTTGTAGTTTCTTTTCAGTTTTTCGAGTTAAGGAGAGCTCAGAAGTAATCACACGAATGCAGTTCTAGATTTCTCATACATGCCAAACCAGGGGCTGGGGAATAGTAAGAAAATAGAGATGAAAGTGTTTTTATTCCAAGTCTTTCTTTGTGAGGTGTGTCATTATGAAACGAGAGGCTGTCTCAGAGTCACAGCTAGGAAATTGCTATCTTTTGAAATTCTCTTTGACTTTGTGTTTTCATTATTCATTTCCAACCTGGGAGTGGAAGTCAGGGAAGCCTGCTATCCATCTGCTGGTCTGTCCCTCCACCCATCCCACATTCATTTATTTATTGACAAAATAGCATAAAGGTTAAAGCCCTACGCTCTAGAGTCAGAACTGATTGGTTTCAAAGAGCAGCTATGTGACTTTGGGCAAGCTAGTGAATTTCCTCTGCTGCAAAATAATTTTGCAGTTTATAATCTTAGGGTAAGAATAGGAATTAAATGGAATAATGCAGGAAACACACAAGCATGTTGAGTAAATCTGTTTTTGCTGTTTCTGTTCTGCTTTTTTTTTTATTATTTTTAATTTTGAGATGTTGTCCAGGCTGTCAGGCTGATCTCAAACTCTTGGGCTCAGGCAATCTTCCTGGCTCAGTCTCCCAGGTAGCTGACATTATAGGTGCATGCTACCATACTGGCTCTGCTTGTTTGGGCTTTTGTTACTTTTTTTTAGGTATTACCTTTGATGATTAAGCATTGCACACTATGCCAGGTCCTGTGTCTGGGATGTATCTGTCTCATAGTCTGCTTTCAGAAAACACTGAGCCAAGTGCACCCTATATTTGATTCAAAATGGTGTTCCCTACATCTAAAGTGATGCTTATGTTGAGAGGAAGAATGGGGGGAGGATCTTCATCTTTCATTTATTCAGAAAGCATTTATTGCTTTGGGAATTCATCAGTGAGTCAAATGTGGTGTGCAACATCCAAGAACTCAAGATTTAAATGTTTGATTTCCTAATAATGACAGTGGCTTTAGGTTCACAGGTAAAAGCAGGTGTGGAAAGCCTGCAGACTCTGTGGTAGAAGAATCAGTGGAGAGCATCAAGACTTGGCTAAGGAAAAGGTGAGGGAGTAGGGGAGAGAAGGCACTGTCCCCTTGAACTTGACCTGACCTCTTCCCCCTGAGCAGGACCACTCCGAGAATGCCATCGGTGTAGCTGCCACCATGGCCCACGAGATGGGTCACAATTTTGGCATGACCCATGATTCTCCTCATTGCTGCCCGGCCAGTGCAGAGGATGGTGGGTGCATCATGGCTGCTGCCACAGGGTGAGTCAACGGAAGGGTAAGGTTGGGAAGATGGGGGTCAGTCATGCCAGGCTGGTGCCACCCAAGTGTTCCTCCCAGCTGGCCCCAGGGAGCCTCTGTTAAACTGTGTGTTTTTTTTACTTTGTGGTAAAAATACATTAGTAACTTCCAAGGAGTGACTTTTACCACAGAGAAGTTGGGAGAGGACCAGGAACTTGAGTGTGCAGGTGTCCTGGGTTCCTGGCAGGTTTAGTGCTGGTTGAACCCTAGATAGACTTAATTTCTGTGTCAGGGTATTCAGCTGTAAAATTGTCTTGGCCACGTGATACTTCCCCTATGTGATTTTTTTTTTGAGATGGAATCTTGTTATGTTGCCCAGGGTAGCCTTGAACTGGAGGACTCAAGCCATCCTTTCACCTTAAGCCTCCTGAATAGCTGGCACTACAAGTGTGTACCACCATGCCCTTCACAAATTTTTAATGAGGACCCATGTTGGTCATAGCCCCAACCCTTGGTCCTTCCACCATCAAGGAATTTGATCAGTGCTGTTACATCCCAGGCTTGCTTGCAAGCTCTGACATAGCTTCTAGAGCAAGTAGAAGCAAGGGGATCCCCCAACCCCCGCAGTAACTCCTCAGGAAATTGGCAGATTGCACTACCTGTGAGGGCAAGGATAGACATCTTGATGTCCTGTAGTTGTGAGAGATTTTCTAAACGAGGGCCTTTGAAAGAGAATTCTGGAGTCTTTCTTTGGAGGACTTCTGTTCTAGTTTCTGGACTCAGCATAAACCATTGGGTTTTTTCAGGTCACTCCTTGGAGGGTGTTGTGGTAGAACCTTACGTCACCTTACTCCAAACTATGTGGCCCACTTGTACTTGGTGGTTCAGTGTCTCCACCAGGAAATCAGTACAACTTCATGATCATGCGCAAATCCCGCGAGCTCACCATAAAGTCCATCCCTTCCTCCCCCTATCTCAAAAGAGTATCTGTAGACAAATGTGAGTTGTATTCACTACTGCAATTCACTACTGTAATTATCCACAAGTTGTATTAATTATTATAGCAAACTCCTTGTGACATACCTCACTACTGAAGGAAATCCTCCAGCGTTTAACCTTAAATTGGCTCACAGAATTTGAAGCAGGGTGACTCTACCTTTTAGATCCAAATCATGGTACAGTACTTCCCCTCGTCTGGAGAGGATGTGTTCCAAGACATTCCAGATGCCTGAGACCACAAATCGTTCTGGGCTCTATGTATACTGTGTTTTCCTACACATATATACCTATGGTAAAGTTTAATTTATTAAGTAGGCACAGTAAAAAGCCAGGTGCCAATGTAATCCTAGCTACTTGAGAGGCTTAGATCAGGAGGCTCTCAGTTCCAGGCCAGCCCAGGAAGGGAGTTCAGGAGACCCCATCTCAGCCAAGAGGTGGGCTCGTTGGTGCATGCCTGTCATCATAGCCACAGTTGGAAGTATAAAATAGGAGGATTGTGGTCCAGGCCAGCATGGGCAAAAAGTGGAAGCCCTATCTCTAAAATAACCAGAACAAAAAGGCATGGCTCAAGAGGTTGAGTGCTATCTTGCAAACGTGAATCCCTGTGTTCAAATCCCAGTACTACCAAAAAACACCCAAGTAGACACAGTAAGAGATTAAGAACAATAACTAATAATAAAGCAGACCAATTATATTAATATACTGTAATAAAAGTTATCTAAAATTTATGGATTGTTTATTTCTGGAATTTTCTACTTAATATTTTCAGACCACTGTTGACTACCAATATCTGAAATCATGGAAAGCAGAACTACAGATAAGGGGAACTACTGTGCCTTGATTTTCTTTTTTTTCCCCAAGAGCAGGGGACCCAGGAGCTTTGACATGCACTCTCTCCCATAGAACAAAGATCAGACCATTGGCCAGTAAAAAAATTAAACCTATGACCTCGACCTTTGTTGGCCTGGTCCATCTGATATCAGCTTCAGAAAAAGAGTGGGTTAGTTGTTATTTTTGTTCAGCTAAGACCCAAGATCTACTGTATACACTCATAATATTTTACATACTATAGCTCCCTTGTGCAGAGGGCAGAAATAGCTGTTCTGAATCTCAAATACCTTTTCCATGCACAGTAAGACAAACAAAACACTATGATTACTACAATCACTAAGTTAATGTATTGATGATTGCACTAATGGGAGAAGGTAGGTACATAGGACTGTGGGGTCTGTGTCCAGGGGGAATCACAGGTAGCAGGACTGCAGGCTGCTCTGGTGAACACTCCTGGCTAATTCCAACCTTGTCCTTTTCCAGGGACCCCTTTCCCAGAGTGTTCAATGGGTGCAACAAGAGAGAGCTGGACCGGTATCTGCAGTCAGGCGGTGGGATGTGTCTCTCCAACATGCCAGACACCAGAATGATGTATGGAGGCCGCAGGTGTGGGAATGGGTACTTGGAAGATGGCGAAGAGTGCGACTGTGGGGAGGAAGAAGTAAGTGTTGTGACAGTGCTAACAGGAGGAAAGGATCTGCAGTGGTTTCAAAGCTCATGGTGAAATGAGAAAGCAGTAAACAGTTGCTTGGTCATTGATAGTTCCTACACATGACTGTCAAACACCCCACTCCATATAAGCTGTGGACAGCCACTTCCCAGGTAGGTGGCTTCTGCAGCCTCGTGAAGTTTGTGATTGGCACTGTTGTGTCCAAGATCAGGGTGAAATTCTTCTTGTGTGTGTCTGGTCCAACCAGAGACCGTGACCCTGAACAAAAATCAGACCACTGGCCAGTAAAAAATTAAGCCTATGACCTCAACCTTTATTGGCCTGGTCCATCTGATATCAGCTTCAGAAAAAGCTGAAAACAGTTTTCACTGTTTTCCCCCAGAGGAGCTGCAGATGGCCTCCTTGGCTCTCCAGCTGCGCTGAATTTATTATAGAGGCTACACAGCCGGATATATGAACTTGAACATGAACCTTTTTTAAGGAACCTTATAGGTTCCTTAAAATAACAGGTTTGTGCTGGGTAGCCTGGGGAAGAGAAGACTGAAAGGGGAAGAAGAAGCAGAACTCTGTGGAAGCTTTTTCCTTCCTGATGAACTTCAAAGTCATTATGGAGGGTACATGACCTACCTCTGTCATTTTTAACAGAAGTGTGTTTTTCTGCAAAAAAGCAGAACTGGATTGTTTCAGCTCTATTTTTTGAAGGATAAAAAAATATGTATGTTAACTCATGGGCTTACATATTTTAACAACTGGGGCAGAACTCATGAGTGACAGTCAGTGATGAGATAAGGATGAGACTGTGGAAAAACTCATTCAATAACCTTTTCTATGGTGTGTTAGTCATTTTTTAGATAAAGAAGCTACCACCCCACCATCATGAGCTCAGGTGCATCAGGAAGCAAGGAGTTGTATCAGGAGCAATGGGGGGGACTATGATTTTGTAAACTAAGTATAATCACATAATGTAAGCGTAAGAAAATGTCTGGGGAAAGATTCACACTCGAAACGTAGCTGCATCTAAGTTGTCTCACAGGGTACCATGTGTACGCATATGTTCTATGATGATTACCGTAATGATGAAGCTGGGAAGTGATGTTTTGGGAAAGAGTTTAGGGGGTACGGACTCTGGGGCGTGTGAAGCAGGCTGGGGGTGCGGGAGGCCCTGCCTGGCTGGGCTCTGACTCCCACCCTCTGCCTCCCCAGGAATGCAACAATCCCTGCTGCAACGCCTCCAACTGCACTCTGAAGGGAGGGGCAGAGTGCGCCCATGGTGCCTGCTGCCACCGCTGCAAGGTAAGCAATCCTTTCTCCTGCCTGAGGCTCTGACCTGCCTCCATCCTGGGGAGCAATGGCTGGGGGTGTAGGCCAGTGGTAAAGCACATGCAAGGTCCTGGATTCAATCCCTAGCACTGAAAAACGATAACAAAAAAGTCAGTTTCATGCACTTGGAGCTAGGAGTGCCCTTGAAGGAAATTTACTGTTTCCTGCTGTGGGCCTCACTGAGTTCAAATCATCCCCTGGGTTGGGCCTCCTGCAAGATGGCAAAAAAGATGATAAATTAAAAAAATGTCCAGAGAATAGGCTTTGCTTTTGTTTGAGTTCATATAATAGTTACTGTAACTCTGATTATCCTTAGTGGGCGTTTCAGTAGGTGCCGGGCACTAGGCTGAGAATTTTGTACAGGTTATCTCCTTCGATCCTCACATATTCCCTTGAGATGTATGTCTCTGTCCTCATTTGCAGATGAGGAAGCTAGGGCCTGGAGGGACGGGTGACTTGTCTTGATTCCTCAGGGCCTCGGGACTCTGGAGCCCACACCCCTAAAATGTTGACGTGGGAGATAATTTTTTACTATTAGTGTTCATGTAGTGCCACAGTCTCTTATCTACAATTGTGAAAGTCAGAAAATTCTAAAAACGGGAAAAAAATTAGAACATTTGGTGACTAACACAGACCTGAGTTGATCGGAGGCTAATTAGCCTTTTTTAAAAAGCACACCTAGCTGGGTATGGTGGCATAGCCTGTAATCCTTCAGGAGGCTCAGGCAGGAAGGTCATGAGTTTGAGGCCAGCCTGGGCTAGGTGGTAAGACCTTGTTTTTAAAAAAAATTATATATAAAAAAAAAAAGCACAACAAAACCAAGTGCTTATGTGTCATTATAGAAATATTCTGTATCCTGGAATGTTATGTAATGTACATGTGGAATTATACATATATATTGCATGTATACTTGTACACATATGTATACATAATAATATGTACACATACACATACAATATTTGAAAATCTGAATGATCTTATTATACCTAAAATCAGAATCTCATGTGACCACGTTACTGTGGACTGGAATTGTGGATCTAAGCTTCTCCCTGCCACTTTCTGGGGCTTACTCATTTCGTGCTTTACTGAAACTCATTCTTCTCAAGCCCTGGAGAAGGCTGTTATCTCGAACCATGGGTGAACAAACAAAAGGGGTTGAGTAGCTGGCTGTGGTCCCATAGCTAGCTAAGGAGCTGGGATTTGAACCAAGTGAGTTAGATGGGTCCTCTTGGCCTCGTCCTGCTCCTGCAAGATGCCTTTGAGTGTGACTGTGGCCTGCTTTGCATACCACCCCTGCCTGCCTTTGCAATACAGCCTCCACTCTTCAGCAAGCAGCTCAACCTAAGAATGACCAGTAAAGGGACCTGTCTGCCACTCGTTCCTGAGAGGATCTGGGGGTGGTGAGCAGTCACCCAGGAGCAAGGGAAGGCTATTCTCAGTCATGTGTTCTTGCCTGGCCTTGGGATACCTGGATGGCATCTGTTTTGGCCTGGCATCCTGCAGGGAGGCTGTGCTAGGTAGAGTCCTTCCAGCCTTGGACAAAGGCTGAAGAGTAAGCATTGAGTGTGACCTTCCGCTGAGTTCTAGGATTTCAGTTTGAGTTTCATAAAGGTTTCCCTGGGGTCTGAGACCTTGACTTCAAGCCCTGGCTGTGTGTTCTGTATCTGTAAACTAGAAAGAGTATTAGGAGCACTGACCACCCAGGGAGGCTGTAAGACTGAGGGGAGACTCAGTTTGCCCATGGTATGCTTTTAATTGACAGAGTAGAGCAAGTAGCAATACTTATCCCATGGATTTTGTGAGGGTCCTAAGAGATAGGTGTAAGTAATATTCTCAGCCCAGGGCCTGGCTCAGTAATGAGAATGTCTTATTGTTGAAGAGCTTTGTAAATTCAAAGATGTTACAGGTGCTTGTGTGTGTGTGTGTGTGTGTGTGTGTGTGTGTGCGCACCATGTGTGTATGTCAGTTGGCCTTTCTCCTTTGCAGCCTTAAGGTGAGACTCTGGAAACATTGTTTAATCTCTTTAAGTCTCAAACTGCATCATCATAAAAATAGTGATAATTCTGTTATGTAGGACTATCATGAAAACTACATGAAGTCATACTGGTATTGAACTCTTAAGTGCATAAAGGTAGCTGTAACTGCTACAGCACATAGGAAACAGTAAATTCTCAAGACGGCTGTGAAGAGGAAGTGCGTTAGCATTTGTGAAAATACACTGAAAACTGTCACTCTTCTCACATTAGCAGCTGTTGCTGGCTTCATCTAATGGGGTCACATGATGGCATAATGGCAGTGAAAAATTCTTTTCCACAAGAGTGATGCTGATGAGCCCTTGGCTGGGAGGGCAGGGAGGAAATTGACTCTCTTTTTCCTCTCATTCCTCAACTCAGCTGCTGGCTCCTGGCACCCTGTGCCGCCCACAGGCACGACAGTGTGACCTCCCAGAGTTCTGCACGGGCAAGTCTCCCTTCTGCCCCACCAACTTCTACCAGATGGATGGCACCCCCTGCGAGGGTGGCCAGGCCTACTGCTATAATGGCATGTGTCTCACCTACCAGGAGCAGTGCCAGCAGCTGTGGGGACCTGGTAAGGACTCGCCTGGGGGACATGGTCCTCCTCTGCGCCCCCACTTCTGAGCCAGCCTTCCCTGCCACCCTCTTGGGGTTCCTTAACCTTTTGGCTCCAGACCACCTACAGAAACCACCTGTCATCCCCTCAACTCAGGGCAGACATCAGGGAGAGACAGTGGTGGCATTCTCCCCAGACCCTTGGTACTTGTAGCTCTCAGAGAGAGCAAGTGGACAGCAACGCAAAGGGAAAAAACAAGCAGGTGATGGAACCGGAAAGGCAAATGAAAATGGTCCTCAAGCACTGAAAGATGGTTAACCTCAGTCATTTTAGGGAAAAGCAAATTATTACTCTTAGGAGGTGAGATTTTTCATGTGTTCGATTGCAAAGACTGAAATTACTATTATAATAATACTATAATAATAACCACCACCATAATACGACTTAGCAGAGGTCTGAGGAAGCAGACAGGCCCATCCCTCTGGAAAGCAGTTTGGAGATATCAGATATTTAAATGCACCTGTTGTACTCAACAATTCCGCTTCTTAGAAATGTAGCCTACCCTGTACTTGCGTATGTATGTGAAAGTGTATCTTCAAAGATGCTTACTGCACTATTGTTTTTTGTGTTGTTTTGGTTTTTGGAGGTACTGGTGTTTGAATGGCTAGCTTCACACTTGCTAGCCGGATGATCTACCACTTAACTCATGCCTCCAACCCTTTGTGCTCTGGTTAAAGATGCATTCTCACTTTTTGCCCAGGCCAGCCTGAACCGCAATTCTCCTATCTTATACTTCCTGCCTTAGTTGGTAGCTGGGATGACAGGCGCACTGTACCAAGCCTAGCTTTTCTATGTTGAGATGGGTTCTCACAAACTTCTTTGCCCAGGCTGGTCTGGAACTGTGATCCTCATGCTCTCAGGCTCCTTAGTAGCTTGGGATGGCAGGCATGCACCCCTGCACCCAGCTATTGCTTGAGATGGAGGCTCAAGAACTATTTACCCAGGCTAGCCTTGAACCACCATCCTCCCCATCTCAGCCTTCCAAGTAGCTAGGATAACAGGCGTAAACTATTGGTGCCCAGTAGTACTGTTGTCAGTCATAGCAGCAGTGGCCTCTATGTCCTTAGTAGGGACATAAATTAATTCTGGTAAATCCATAGAGTGGAATACTGTATGGTTAGGTTAAAGGAGGCAGCTCTTTATGGTGAATAAAGCCATCTCCTACAATAACCCATCTCCTAAATAAATAAAATAAAAATGCAAGGTGCAGAACAATGTCTAGAATGTGCTTCCACTCTTCATTGGATACATATTTCTAGAACATGCACTGGGAAGTGTATCTAAGAGATACATAAGATAGTGATACAGTTGCTTCTAGAAAAACACACTGTTCATAGTTGTTGCTTTTCTAGGTGATAGGGGAGTAGGAACTGGATGGATATGAGGAAAAATTTCCAAAGGCAATGTTTATATCTTTAAAGTTTTGTGCATGTATTATTTTTTAAAGTCCTGAAATAAGATAGCACTTCATTACCAAGCAAGCTTAGCATGGAAATCCTTGCAGATATAAATCCTCAATAAGGTATAAAAATGAAGGACTGGAGGTGTGGCTGTAGTGGTAGAGCACCTGCTTAGCATACATGAGGTCCTGAGTTCAAAACCTAGTACTGCAAAAAAAAAAAAAAAGAAAGAAAGGAATTTAAAACATTTTCTCTCAATTAGTCTTGATGAGAATATGGGGTACAATAACCTTACAGGGGTACAAGAAGAAGACCTGAGTATCCCTCCCCTAAAACATTCTTCATGATTTTGTCGAAGGCCAGCTTTGCTCTGGGGGTGTCTGACAGGCTAGTGTACCAACAACTGTTGTTTCTCGCACCTAGGAGCCCGGCCTGCCCCTGACCTCTGCTTCGAGAAGGTGAATGTGGCAGGAGATATCTTTGGAAACTGTGGGAAGGACATGAATGGTAAACACAGGAAGTGCGACACAAGGTGAAGACCAAGGGCCAACCCTGTTGCCTTCCCTTTGTCTGAGTTTTTATAGGGTCTCTCCTAGTGGGTCCCCAGAGCACACTCATTGCCCCTGACATTTGTCCCACCCCACCCACACCTGCTGTCTTGGCCAAGAAAGACGAAGCTTTGCAGTACCCAAGTTCTTCCCCAGGCTCTGATTTCATCTTCTGTCCCAGAGATGCCAAATGTGGGAAGATACAGTGTCAGAGCTCCCAGGCCCGGCCCCTGGAGTCCAACGCGGTACCCATTGATACCACCATCATCATGAATGGGAGGCAGATCCAGTGCCGGGGCACCCATGTCTACCGACGTGCTGATGATGACGAGGAGGAGGAGGGTGACATGCTGGACCCAGGCCTGGTATTGACTGGAACCAAGTGCGGTGACAACCATGTGAGTTCTTACCCTAGCCTCACTCAGCAGCTGGGCTGCAGGGAGGAGAGATTGAGAAGTGTGAGCTGTAGAGGGGGACGCTGGACTCAAATCCCAGCCCCACTGGCTTCTTTTATAAAAGCAGTAGAAAGATAACAATGGATTGCCACCTACAAACTAAGGATTAAGCAAGGTCATCGCTTTGAAGCACCCACTGTTACCATTTTCATCCTTAGCATTAGTTATCATAGGAAGTAAAAGTGGACCAAGAGTCAGAGAAGTCCAAGGAAAATAATATTAACTATCTCAGAGTTAATTATGATAATAAGAGTATAAAGAACATGGGCCAGGCACTAGTGGCTCACACCTGTAATCCTACCTACTCAGGAGGCAGAGATCAGGAGGATCACGGTTCGAAGCCAGCCTGGGCAAATAGTTTACGAGACCCTATCTTGAAAAAACCCCATTACAAAAGAAGGGCTGGTGAAGTGGCTTAAGGTGTAGGTCCTGAGTTCAAGCCCTAGTACCTCAAAAAAGAATAATAGTAATGTATAATATGACACATGTCCTTCAAATTGTTGAACGCAGTATTTTGATGGTATATTTATCAGGTCCTCCATAATCATGAAGGTACCAGCAGAATATAGTTAGCTACTGTCCTACCCTTGTGTCTTAGACTTTTGTTTCCCACTGTAAGAAGTAACATAAAGGGCTGCTTTTGGGGCTCCCCGATGTTCTCAGTGCTCCCGTCTAATTCCCGATGGTGTCCCTGCTGGGGACTGACAACTGTGCTTGTTCCTCCCTGCAGATTTGCTTCGAGGGCCAGTGCAGGAACACTTCCTTCTTTGAAACTGAAGGCTGTGGAAACAAGTGCAATGGCCACGGGGTAGGTGGTCTGGTTTCTGGGCTCCATGAGGCAGGGTGGGAGGCCAGAGCTCTCCAGGGTGCTGACGCTTCTGCCTGCCCCGCCCTCTAGGTGTGTAACAACAACAAGAACTGCCACTGCTTCCCGGGCTGGGCGCCACCCTTCTGTAACACTCCAGGCCCAGGGGGCAGCATAGACAGTGGACCCACGCCCCCCAACAGTGAGTGCTGGACTGCTTGTGACCTCCTCCTGGCTTTGGGAGAGGGGTGGCACCACGGGGACAGGTGGCATGTTGCAGTGTGTCCACCTCAAGTCTATTTCATTCTCTGGATTTTGCAGAGGAGGGAAGAGACATAGAGAGGCCACATGGGAAGGGGTGAACAAAGGTTAAGATTGGGTGCCAGGCACAGAAAAGTTTGTTTTTTTTTTTTTTTTTTTGTGGAAATCTGAGAAATTCTAGCCCTATGGTTTCTAACTTTTTTGTTTTAATAATAGCAAAGTACTTTTTAAAGATCTTTCAAGGAAGAAACCTCAAGATATAAAACAGATGAAAGTTGGGTTTCATTGCTGTGAATATACTCTGTACATTTAAATGTACAATTCTGAAGACTGAGGCTGTTTTGAATCAAATGTGAAATTGTGGATTGAGGGTCAGAGTTCTAGGCTTAACTCTGTCTGTCTCTCCTAGGGTTTAGTGTTTGTTGAATCCAGGAAAATGATGAGTTAAAATGATGAGCTGAAAACCAGTGGTAATAGAGCTTGCACTGATTGCCTGAAAAGAGAATCTTTTCAGATTAACAGAAATAGCTGTGGGAGTTTCATATTATAGCATCTGGGCAAAACAAATTGACCTGACTCTTTAAGCTGCATCAGTCATGTTCCATTAGGAGATAATGGGTGATTTTTATCATAATTTGTAAACAAAAATAAGTAATACAAATTAAATGCACATCGCGTGTCTGAAAAAAAATCGGGAATACATTGTTTTGTGTAGCCCAAACACCTTCTAAATCTCTCCTTTGGGTTCTGTTTCTTGAAGGTATTGGTCCTGTGGTGGCCGGGGTGTTTTCAGCCCTCTTCGTGCTGGCAGTCCTTTTTCTGGGGTTCTATTGCTGTAAGCAGAACAATAAACTGGGCCAGCTGAAGCCCTCAGCCCTCCCCTCCAAGCTGAGGCAACAGTTCAGGTAGGACAGGGTGCTATGAAGGACTTGGGGATCCACTTTAGGGGGTACTGGGATTTGAACTCAGAGCCTCAAGCTTGCTAGGCAGGTGCTCTACTGCTTTAGCCACTCCACCAGCCCTTTTGGGGGTTCAGTTTTGGATCATAAAGCTCTCCATCTGCAGTACCCAGTGAGAGGGAGTGGTGGTGGGTCTAATTCAGGGAAGGTGAATGCCGTCCTCCCCTCGTCATGCTGCGTGAACCATGGCAGACCCTAACTATAAGTAGTCTCTACTGAGCCTGGTCATTACTTCCAACTTCTTCTCAGCAGAGTACCCGCAACCAATTCAAGTTGAAATATGAAATGAAATCTATTTGTCATCCTTCATCGAATTGATTGGTCCTCATTTTAAAGAACCGAGGCGACAGAGAAGGAATGACTGTCCCAAGTTAGTTGTAGGGGGCTAGATGCCAGCCCATGAAGATGTCTTAACTTTTTTTCCCCAAGTAATTCATTCCCTTGGATGTTGAAGGTGGGAATATTCTCTGAGTCCCCTCTTGCATTATAATTGTTCTGGAAGGGATTTTAAATCCCAGGTGTCTCTGGACCCATGTCTGAGGGGGTTAGTTGATGGCTGGTGACATCCTTGTGTCTCCTTGCATCAGGGGCTGGGAAGAGTTCTTCAGGAGGTAAAGAGAAGGTGTTGAGAAAGCTCTGCTTTGTGAAAAACCACCTCTTTCCTGGGAAGTTCTTCACTGACCACACACAGGGTTTAAGAACCAACCTCACTTCCTCTAGACTAGATGTGTGAAGGTTTACCAGTTGGCCAGCTGTGCTTGGAGCAGAGGGACTCAGTCACTGTCCTTTGCTGAATATCTCCCACTATTTTTTTTTTCCAGTTGTCCCTTCAGGGTATCCCAGAACAGTGGAACTGGACATGCCAACCCAACTTTCAAGTTGCAGACGCCCCAGGGCAAGCGAAAGGTGAGGGCTTTGCATCCTTGAACTTAACCACTCTTCCTTTATTCCTCATGATACTGTTAGGTTTTCCTCAAAGCCTGTATGGACCCATGTGGGATTGGTAACAAAAGCCCTTTTGTTGGTTTGAAAAACATATCCTTTGGTTCTGATGTCTCCTAATGACTTGTAATTTCTAAAAAATCTTTTGGTAGTACTGGAATTTGAACTCAGGGCCTCATGCTTGCTAAGCAAGGGCTCTATCACTTGAGCCAAGCTCTCAGTTAATTTGTTTTTAGTTTGCTTTTTAGATAGGGTCTGGTAATTTGGCCCCGGCTAGTCTCAGACTGTGATCCTCCTACCTGTGACCTCCAGTATAGCTGAGATTATAGCTATGCACTACCACGCCTGGCTCCCTAATAACTGTAAAGGTTGCATCTGACCTCTGGGATCCTAGGGGTGTTAGCAGCTCTCTGTGTCAGTGCTGTCCTCTGGCTCTGGTCATCTCAATGAGATACTCAGGGTACCCTGAGTTTTTAAGTGGATTGAAGATTCCTGTCTTAGGTGTCCCTTGTCTTGTGCATACAGGTAACCAACACCCCTGAAATCCTACGGAAGCCCTCCCAGCCTCCTCCCAGGCCCCCTCCAGCCTATCTGCATGGCGGGTCACCACCTGCACCGGTACCACCACATCTGAACAGAGTAGCTAGGAACTCCCCAGGGCTTGGGGCACAAGTTGAAAGAAAGGAGTCGTCTAGAAGGCCTCCCCCAAGCCGGCCTGTGCCCCCTGCACCAAATTGCCTCCTCTCCCAGGTAAGTGAGTTCTCAGCAAGCCTGGGCTGGGGCTGTTGCCATAGAGGCCACCTGCAGTAGGTAATGCTGGAGGCTGGGAAGTTGGGCTTGTCTTGTTGAAGCTGACAGGTTTTTCTGCATTCGGGTGAATCGGGCTCACAGAGGGCTAGAGCAGTGAGTGTGGGGAACCATAGACCATTTCCTTCCTGTTGCCTTATTTATGACAAGCCTCTGCCCACCTTCCACCCCAAGGTGGAAATTAACTTCTTTCTGTTCCCCAAGCTATAATCACCTCCACACCCTTGCAGATGCTGTTTTCCTGACCCACAGCCTCTGCCCTTTGCCTGGTCAGTGCCTGTGACCCTCAGATGGGACATTAGATGAATGTCTACCAAGTGCCTTCTCTGACCCTCCAAAGTCTGAGGGTATAAGTGCCTTACACCTCTGTCATCATAGCACCTAGCCTTTCAACTTGCACTGTCCACATATCCACTAGTTGGAAGGTCTTACTGAGCGAGGCCTTGCTCATGCAAGGGCCACTGCAAAGGGTGTGACCTCTGGAGGTGAGAGTGGGGTCTGTGATCACCCTCACCACTAGTGCTCACGGATGCAGAGCCACTGCCCAGCAGCTTGTGCTCCTGGCATGTCTACGCTTTGTCTGAGAGGAGTTCCACATTTCCCCAGTGTAGACATGGGTATTCTTGGTGGGGTGGCTAGGCATGATGGCTTCTGGAACTGGGCTATATGTCTTGGGTGCCACCCCTCAGATGACTATTTCTCTTGGGCATGGTACCCAGGGCTGGCTGCCCTGATCCTAAAGACCATGGGGTTGGCTGCAGGCTTAGAGGGTCCCTGGGATATGGAGCAGAGTTGAGGGCATGAAGTCTGGTCTTCTACTACAAAATTGCTGCTTTTCTGTTCCTCTGTGTGAGGCAGAGATGTGTAGAAAAGATTGAGTAGGAGAGAGAAGGGGGGAGAAAGGGGAGAAAGCAGGGATGAGGGGTGGAGACGGATGCATGTTAGTTGCTAGGGCTGCCATAACAAAGCAACACACCTGGAAACTTCTCAGTCTGGAGGCTGGAAGTCCAAGATCAAGGTGCTGGCAGGGTTGATTTCTCCTGACGCCCCCTTTCTTGCTGGCAGATGCTGTCTTCTCCTGTGTCCTCACATGGCCCTTCCTTAGTCCTTGTGCATCCCTTGTGTCTCCGTGTGTCCAAATTTCCTCTTTTTTTTTGAGATTTCACTATGTAGCCCAGGCCGGCCTTGAACTCCGGGTGCTCCTGCCTCACCCTCCCTAGTGCTGGGATCACAAGTGTGCACCACCACACCTGACAAATTTCCTCTTCTTATAAGGACACCAGATTGGATTAGAGCCTCCTTTTCACTTAACCATCTCTTTAAAGACGTGATCTCTAAATATGGTCACATTCTGAGGTCACAGTCAGCATATGAATTGTTCTGAAGGGGATGTGCACAGTTCAGCCAATAACAGAGAGAAGAGAAAAGGCAAAAGAAGGAAGAAAGCAACCTGTGGAGACAGGGAGGGGAAGGCAAACAGGTACCAGAGGAGGGGGCCGTCCATCCAGACCATTGTTTCTAAAATCCTACACTGGAGACTTGTTCAAAGAACTTAGGACCAGGCTGGGCACGATGGTGCAAATTCATAATTCTAGCTACTAGGGAGGCAGAGATATCCGAAGGATTGCAGTTCAAGGCCAGCCTGGGCAAGGAGTTTGCAAGACCCCATCTCAACCAGTGGCTATGCTATATGGTTCAAGCCTGTCATCCTAGCTGTGCTATGGAAGTACAAATAGACGGATCCAGGTATAGGCTAGCCTGGGTATAAAGCAAGCCCTTATCTCAGAAATAACCAATGCAAAAAGGTAAAGTGGCTCAAGTGATAAAATTCCTGCCTAGCAAGTGTCCCCCAGTACTGCAAAAAAAAAAAAAAAAAGAATGGGGTCAGCCTCACCTCGTGTCATCCTGAGGCACAGAGCCACTGAGCACTAGGTCAGGGGTGTCAGGGACAGGAGGAATCAGCCGGGTGGGAGAAATGCTAGTGCTGTCACTCTCCCTGGCTGGGTGAGAGGTCGCCCGGCAGTGGTAGGTGTCACCACCACACAGACAGCAAGCACAGTTTCTCTTGGACCTGGGCACAGGTAGGGGTTTCTCCAATGGCTGGCAGGGGAGGCAGCTGCTCACAGGGAAGCTGTGGTGACAGCCACCTCCCTGCTCAGAGCCATGCTGAGCTTTTCACTGAGTTGCTGAGTTTCATAGGGTCAAAGGGACTTGCCCGAGACCACAGTTGAGTGGAAGAGTTAGGACTTGAATCTGGCTCTCACCTAGCTGCATGAGGTGACCCATGGAGGTGGGGGTTGTACTGATTTCAAATCAGGGAAAAGCCTTGTTGAGAAGGAGACAAAATTGTAAGGGGGATATTAACGTGCAGTGACACCCACTGACAACCCATATGAAAAATGTCTAGTCTCTTTTTTGAAATTTTCCTTTTTTTTTACCCAGGTAGTACACACATGCTCTTGCTAAAAAGAAACCGAACGTTCACCCGGCCCACCCTTGCACCGGCACCCCCATCCTGGTGTACTCTTTTATCAGTCTGGTCTATTTCCCTTCTGTTTTGTGTTTACTTACATGTTAGGTCAGGTAGGGGGCATAGCAGTGCATTTTTAAATTTATTTATTTGTTTTCTTGGTGATACTGGGATTTGAACTCAGGACCTTGCACTAGCTAGGCAAGTACTCTACCACTTGAGTTACACTCTCAGCTCCTTTTGCTTTTAGATTATTTTTCAGAAGAGTCTTGTGTTCTTCTCTGGGGCTGATCTCAAATCATCATCCTTCTATCTATGCATCCCTTGTAGCTGGGCTTACAGATGTGTGCCACCATGCCCTGGCTTGTTTTTTGTTGTGATGGGATCTCATTAATTTTTTGCCCAGGCTGGCCTCCATCTACAATCCTCCTGATCACTGCCTCCTGAGTAACTGGGATGACAGGTGGGAGCCACAGGCTGGCCTTATGGTGACTTATTTTATATAAACACAGTCTGCAGCTTATACTTCAGCTCTTAAACATTTCTCCACACCAGCTGCATCACCCTCTTTCTCTACCAATGGAGATTAGGGTCATTTGTGGGTTTTTGGCTTCCTAACCAATATAGCAGAGAATGTCTTTGCAACTTCATCTTTGTGCACCATGCCAACAGTCCTCTAACAGGGACTGTCAGACTTAAAATGTTCAGATCACAGAATGATCATTTCTCATTTGATTTATTTTTTAAGTTTTTTATTTTCTTTTCCAAAAAGGCATGTAAACATATTGTAGACACACAATTCCTTTTTGAATGGGATCACATACTATTATCCCACCTACTCAGGAGGCAAGGTTGGGGACAGGGGAGATCTCGGTTCAAGCCCAGTTCATGCAAAAAGTTAACGAAATCACATCTCAGTTAATAAGCCAGGCATGGCGGTTCATGCCTGTAATCCCAGCTCCTCAGGAAGCCATAGGTAGGAGGATCTGAGTCTGAGGCTGGCCTTGGGCAAAAACTTGAGACACTACCTGGAAAATGACTAGAGCAGAAAAGGGTTGGGGATGTGGCTTAAATGGTAGAGTGCCTATCTAGCAAGTGCTCAGCCCTGAGTTCAAAGCCCAGTACTGCCCTCCCCGCCAAAAGTAAATAAGTAAATAATACAAGGGACCAAATGATGTGTCCCTTTATTCATCTGGTTTTGAGCCATAAGATTTTAGCAGTATTTCTTTCCAGCGGGCCCCTCGAGTGAGACTTCTTCCCTTCTCAGGACTTCTCCAGGCCCCGGCCACCCCAGAAGGCACTCCCAGCAAACCCAGTGCCAGGCCGCAGGATACCCCCCAGACCAGGCGGTGTCTCTGTGCTGCAGCCCCCTGCTGCTGGTCCCCAGCAGCCCTGGCCTCTGCCATTACCTACTCCAAAGGTAAGTTCACAAGAGGTACTGGAGGGCACCAGGGGGTGGTTAAGAAAATGAACCAGTTTATGCTTCTTGTCTGGGCTGCACTACAGAAAAAAAACCTTAGCATTTCTTAGTGCCTACTTGAGGGTCCCTTGCCTTAGTGAGAGGGTGTTTGGGCTTCCTGTGAAGATGGCACTCAGAGGCCAGAGCTCTGGTGGCCTCCAGCCTGACCAGCTGAGTGACCTTGAGCTCCTTGTCTGTAAAACGGCATAAGAAACAGCAATGACTGGTCCCGTGTAGAGTTGGTGGGAAAGTCAAGGCAGTCACTTTACACACACAGCCTGGCCTACGGTAGGCTGTGTGCAACAGGCCCCTCTCCCTACTTCTACTCTGTGGCTGACATGTTCTCAGTTTAGTCCTGAGAGTTGCGATAAAGGGGCGAGGTGAGGAAGGAATCTGACTGACACCCCAGATTCCCATGGGGCCCTAAGAAGTGCGAGGATTCCCTGTGGCTTTGGGGTGAAGGGAGGAAGGAGGGAGACATACACGTCAGTTTTCAGTAAGGGCACTCCAGACACCTCTCACTACAAGGCTGGTGGCCCAGGGGAGCTACCACAGAGACAGACTTCTGCAGATGATGTATCTGTCCTGCCTGGCCATAGAAAACCGGAGGACAGCTCCACAGTGATCCCAGCAAGTGTGGAACTGACTGACGTCTTTCTCCCTCCCTTCTCTTTCTTTCCAGTTTCCTCAGTACAGACCACAGAGGGCTGGGGGGATGGCTAACTCCAAGATCTAGACCTGTCTAGAAGCTTCTCGATTTCTTGGAGGACTCTTGATGGCATGGAGGACCCATGGTCATGGGATCCAGAGGAAGCCTGTGCAGCCACCTCAGAGCTCCTTCTGCCCTCCAGGAACCACATCTCCAGAATCTCCCTTCTTGACTTGGTGTCTCCCTGGCTTCCTCAGAGGTCCAGAGGGACAGTTATCCAATGGCTTCTACATGTTGTTTTGTGCAATATACAGCCTGGGTAGGACAGGGAGCACAGAAGGGGACAGGTGGCAGCTTCTCTATCAGCCTCCAGCCCAGAGGTGCTGATGGACGTGGTCAAGACTGTCTTGGTGGTGAGCCTGCTGGGCTGTTCTAGCCAGGGCTGGGCTTGAAGAAGCCATCCATCCAGGTTCTGCCTTGGGGGTGCCCATGGAGCTTCCATCCTTGTCTCCCTCTGAGGTCCAGGCTGGGCAGAGACTGACCCTCCCCCATCCATTTTAGCTTTTAGGGATTAAAAAAAAAGGGTCAAACCAGCCTGTCCCTGTCCAGGACCTGGTCAAGGTGACACTCCTGGTTATATGACTGCATGTGACAAGCCCTGCCCCTCCCCCCTGCATCCCTTTATCACACGGGTCGCTCTGACTCAGACAGGTACTATTTGTAGGCAGTGTAGACAGCAGGGGGAGCCCCAGAATGTGCCTCCTCTGAGCCAATGCCAAAGTTTGGTAATTCTCGGGAATTCTCAGTTTTGTGTTCTCTCCTGTGCTCTCCCAGTGCTCTGTGCTGTATCTTCTCCATCCCTTCCCATCCTCTCTAGCCCATGGTGCTTTGGGGTGGACCCTCAGCAGTCCTGACTTTCTGGTCCTGCCTCATGGGGTATGGTCATGGAGTCCTGGCTTTGTCTGTCTTTGTGTTTTGTGGCCTTGGCAGAGTGACGATGTTTCTCCTTACTCCATGACCTACATCTAGTGACATCCCCCAGAGATGGTGAAGCGAACGATGTCCAAGGAAGCCCAGCTATTGAAAAGTGGATGCAGCCTGTCCTTCGCCATCTGCTGGCTGGCTTGAGGTAGGACTGTGGCCTTTTTCTTCTAAGCAAGGGAGCTGTCAGAGGCCCCTAGAGAAGATAGCCATCAAAGGCTAGTGAAACAGGCTGAGCTGGACCCCTAGTCAGCCTCCCATCTGTCCGCTTCCTTTTGTTCTCTCTGGCTGGTCACTGCCCTTACCTGACCCTCCCAAAAAGAGCTCTGAGCAGTTGGGGGACCAGATTCTGACAGATCCTGCCCTGCCTGCAGCCCAGAAGGAGGGCTGTGTGGTGCTTTGCTAGACAGGATGAATTTTACAAAGTAGCTGGAGATGGTCTCTGAAAGACTGTCTCTTACCCCCAGAAAGGTGCTGGGGGACTCTGTAACGTCCACTCCTCCTGGGGCCTCCCCACCTCCTGCAGGGAGCACATGGTTGCTCTTGGAAACCTCAAGGCATGGAGGAGGCTGAACTTTCGAGTCCCCGTCCTCCAACCCAAGGCCTCTTTCTAGTTCTCTGCACACAGTAGGTGCTGGGCTGATGCTCTTGGGTTTGTAGATAAGTAAGAAATGTGGCATGCACACCTGGCGACAAGCATGGAGTATAGGTGAGGTGAAAGACCTCAGGACACTGCATTTCTCTCCCACAGGGGGGCTGTCCTGTTCTGGTCAGGTCCCCCTGGCATGGGCCTTCCTTGCCCCCATGTCCGTCCCCGACCTCCTTGCTGCCTGATTCCAGCAGGGGTTAGCCCTCCATGAAAACAATGTACCAAATGCTCCGTGCTGGAAACTGGGTCTCAGAAAAGGTGGTGCCACCACCCCAAACAAACAAGCAAACTGTGTATAAGCCCAACCCCATACCTCCTAGATGTTCCTTGGCTTGGGCGGCCCTTCTCCTTCACATCAGGAATCAGGCAGCACTGAGTGTTAGTGCCACAGCCATGGTGACTAAGTGAGACTCTTGAACCTGAAATACACTGTCCTTAGACCCATATGGGAAAGAGACCTGGTTACTGTTTCCTTGCTTTTTTTTTTTTCCCCTCATTATTTTAATACCACCTTCATCCCATAAAATTATAATGTGAACTGGAAGCTGGCAGAATTTTTCAAGTTTGACAGAGAATCTTGGCAGCCAGTTCTGTTTACCATCTCACTCCTGACTCTGTTTAGGGAGCTAAACAGGGTCCTTTTCTGTTGGCCAGGAGGTGGCTGGAGGGAGGCGTGCCCATTTGGCGTCCCCTCGTCCACCCAGTATGTGGTTGTGTGATATCACATACAAGTACATCTGGACTTAAGAGGAGAGACTTTATTCTAAAGGATTATTGAAAAATAGAGAATGAGTTTTGCCACAGGGAGAGGAAGGGTCTTTTGAGATAGACTAGGCCAGCCTAGCCCAAATGTGGTGCATCCCAAAGCCCAGGCCAAACTGGAAGTAACTGTATAGAAGATGGCTCTGACACTTTGGGGAGGGGCTGTGTGCTAGCTGAGGCTGGGGGTAGGTCAAAGCCCGGGTCTGGCGGAGAAGAGGGAAGCTAACCTGAGTTGGTTCTGTGCAGTCCACAAACACTCTGCTCAGTTAGGAAAGGATGGAAATCTTTTTAGAAGCTAAATTCGCCTCCTGCCAGTTTTAGAAGCCTGGAGCCAGCTCTGAAATGCAAACCTCAGGAAGGCTGCATGCCTCCCTCCATCTCTGCAAGAGGTTACGCCTGGCCCTCACCCCCAAGTTGCAACTACCTGCTTGCTGTCAGTTCCTTTCAGCCTGTTGACTTCCACCCATAAAACAAAAGCCCTCTTCAGCCCCTGCTCCAAGAAACTGCAGATTTTATGGTCCGAGTGTCCCTTGTATTACAATCCCCACTCCTCTACTGCAGTAGCCCTTGGCCAGCTTGCGATAATCCTTTTAAATAAAGTCAAACTAGGCCAGACCTACTTTGTTCTCATTGGACAGAGGGTATGCAAGACTTGTGTTTTACATATTGGGAACCAGTTCTAAAGGTAGTGATTTTGTTAAGTACCTGTGTAACTGCTCTGCTGGATCCCCAAGCCAGTCCAGGGAGCCGATGCCCCCTTCCCTAAGGAAGCCTGCTAGGGGGAGGTTCTGCAGAATCCAAGCCAAACACCCTCAAAGTCACCCTCTCAGCATCCTCTCGTGCCACCCACTGTGTGTACGATGTGTCTGGCATTCAGGGCAATGTGAATTTTCTGTTTATTTGGAAGATTGCTCACGGAAAACACATCTTCCCTCTCGTCCACCTATATTGTTTACAATATTTGTACATCTATGCAAAATACTTGAATGGCCATGGTGCCTTTTTTTTCCCCCTTGTTTGTATTTAATTAAAATGAATTGATTGTTATTTGAAATGTTATCAGGTTTGGCATCTCTTTTTTTTGTGTGTGTGTTTTTAATGTTCTACTACTTGTACCCCATGGGATTATTGAGATGTAGATTCCTAAGAAAGAGGCCCTGCAGTGACCAGCCGTCCAGCCCTCAAGGGGTAGAAGTAGACCTTGAGCCACAGCAAAGCCCTGGGTTTGCCACGGCCACTAGAGGGGGCTGTTTGCATTGCACTGGGCAGAAACTGGTCTAGTTTAATTGGGTCTTGCATCATTAAAAATCTGAGTGATCTTGGACTAGAGGTAGCTCAAGTGGTAGAGTGCCTGCTTTGCAAGCCTGAAGCCCTGAGTTCAAACTCCAGTTCCATCAAAAAAAGAAAAAAATAGTGATCTTGAGATTCTAGTACCTTTCTTCTACAGAGATTCTGGTACCTTTCTTCTACACTATTGTCTGTATCTATCTATCTATCTGTCTGTCTATCTCTTTCTATCTATCTATCATCTATCTACCTACCTACTTATACTTTTGGTGGTACTGGGCACCTTGTGCTTGCTAGGCAGGTGCTCTACCACTTGAGCCACGCCCCAAGCCCTTTTTGCTTTAGTTATTTTTCAGATAAAGTCCTGTGCTTTTTATCTGGGCTGGCCTCAGACAATCCTCCTCCCTCTTGTGTAGTTGGGATTACAGTTGTGATCCCCTGTCCCTGGCTTGTTTTTTGAGATGAGATCTTGTTAATTTTTTTTTTTTGCCCAGGCTGTCCTCAAAACTGTGATCCTCCCGATCTCTACCTCCCAGGTAGCTGAGATCACAGGTGTGAGCCACCACTCCCAGCCCCCACTATTGCTTTTAGAAGAAAGTTGAAGTCTTCTGTTTACCTCCTCATCTTACTGCTAGGATTTATACCTTAAAGAAAGGGGGAGTCTTGCCCAAGGCAGGGCAGGAGGGCCGGGCCAAGTGTAATAACAGCTCATACCCAGTAGTGCTTCTCAGTTCACAAAAGGATTGGCCCTCATTCTCTCATTCAATCTCCAGCTCAATTTGCAGGTTCTCTAAGAGATGAAATAGGGGTAATATGAGAGGAGACAGTGTTTCCTGAGGCCTTAGCTCTGCCTGCAGCTTTTCTTTCTTTCCCTCCCTCCTTCCCTTTCTCTTTTGTGGTACTAGAAAGCGAACCCAGGGTCTTGCACTTGCTAGGCAAGCACACTACCACTAAGCTACATCCCCAGCCTTTTTTTTTTTGAGCTAAGATCTTGCTAACTCTGTCTCGGCTGGCGTCAAACTCATGATCCTCCTGCCTCCCAATTAGTTGTGCCACCACGCCCAGCTGCTTGCTCCTTTTTTTTTTTTAAATATGGATTGCCTCATTTAATCTTCACAGAAGGCCTGGGAGAGGGTTCTTCTGAGAGAAGGTACTTGATATATGATTATATCCTTCTAGCCTCTCATGGTTATGAGGTTGCCTAAGGACATTAAAAACATCTAAACACAAATCCTTTCACTACTAACATGCCTGCTTATGAAATGAGTGTCCACCCAACACCTCTGCTTGCTTAACTGGCTACCCTGTCCACTTTCTTGGCCAGTCTTGGGGTTGATAGTCACTTGTCAGTCAGTAGTATAATGCAGAAAGTCTGGCTAGACAGACCTTGGGTTCGAGTCCTAGTTCTGCCACTTACAAGCTGTGTGAACCTACATAAATTCCAGAACCCTAAGAGCCTCTCTTCATACACAAACAGGAATGATGCTGCTATAGTTTGGATCTTAAATGTCCTCCAATGACTTATATATTGGAGGCTTGGTCTCCAGGGAGGTTGCTACTGTTAGGTGGTGACAGTTTTTAGATGTGGGGCCTAGTGGGGCTGCCATTTAGGGTGCCCCCAAAGGGCCCATGGGCCCCAGCCTCTTTCTCATTCTCTCTTTGCTTCCCAGCCATGAGGTGACAGGTTTTGTTTTGCCACATGCTCCTACCATGATGCACTGCATCAGGCCCAAAATAATGGACTGGAACCTCCCAAACTATGAGCCAAAAGAAGACTTTTCTCTATAGGAGTTGATTATCTCAGGTATTTGTTATAATGGTGGGGAGCTGAGTAGCATGAATACCTACCACAAAAGTGCTGTGATCGGACTGGCCAAGTGACTCAAGTGGTAAGAGTGCCTGCCTAGCAAGCATGAGGCCCTGAGTTCAAACCCCAGTACCACCAAAACAAAAGTGCTGTGATCATCAATGAAGCCCCTCTGAAAAGCACCCAGCAGTGCCCACAACCAGACAGATGTTCTGTCAGGATGTGCCCTGGGTTAGAAATTCTCTAAAAGAATTTGGATAGGAAGGACCGTTGAGGATGACGTGTTCCTTCAGTAAAAATCAATAAAGTTCTTTTTTTTTTTTTTTGAAAGCCAACTATATGCAGAACACCAAGGATAAGCAATAAAAGAAGACCAGCTCTCAGAGAGCTTATATCCACACAGGGAGCAAATACAGATCACCAAGAACACAAGCAAAGTAATAAATTATGCGCTTGGGGAGATGAGTAGTTTGGGGGGAGACACTGTGGAACCAAGTATCAGCTTTGATTCTTGCCTACCAAGTGACCTTGGGCAACTGTTTCACTCTGAGTCCCTTTTCTTCATATAAATTAGGGGTAACAATATACCTTCCTTGGGGATTTGAGACATGTGAAAGGTGTTTACATGGAATGCCTACTGTGCTTGGTGCCTGCTAAGGGTTCAGGTGTTAACTAGGAATGATTTATCATCCACAGACTATTCTGCAAATAGTCTTTCCCACTGTGGTGAGGGTGTAACTGTGGAAGACCCTGGAGGGTTTGTCTTGCTTTTTCAGAGGTCTGGGACTGGCCTCCCAGAACTAGAAGAACCAACTGAATTGCTCCAACTTCAAGGACAGGCAAGATAGTGCACGAAGTAAACACACTCTGAAGACTTTATTCTTAACCCTGGAATTCAGGGCCCTCAGTTTACTGCCATTCTCAAGATCCAACGTGTTGCATTGATTTTAGTTCCAGACAGAAATCCACATTCATTAAAAACCAGACTTGATGCTGAGACAAATGGGACTAGAGCATTGGTCAGTTGAGTCCTTGGAGTTCCAAGGCCAGTGAGGCTTTGGCCTGGGTGTGGCTGCACTTAGTGCTGCAGCACACAGGTGGGGCACCCTGTGCCAACTTTAGGGCTGAGGTTCAAGTCTTCCCTCTGTCCTACAAACTGGCTCCTTCACGTCCCTTCCCAATGGTCCTTGTACCAACCCCACACTCTTGCAGCTAAAAAGGAGGGAAGGGAAACCATGTATCTTTGTAGCTGCTCTTATTCTGTGGCTGCCTCCAGCCAAATGTGCAGGGGACCCAAAGCAGTACCATGGTAGGTAGCATTGGAGCTGTCACAGTGTGCCAACTCCAGTGTGGGCAGCTCATCAGTGGAGTTGGGGACTCAGTGACAATACGCTAACAGTCAGGATGCACACCATGCCAAGCCTCCACCCCAATTGGGCCACTGAAATTTAAAGTCGATCCCACTGGCCAAGCCCCTCAGACAGCAGCCCAGATATTATCCAGCACCATTTTGGCCTAGGAGTAAGCCCAAAAGTTAACCTGTAACTTCTGCCATGCCTTCATCCTACTCCCCACGCTTCTCCCGAATCTTATTTTGATGAATTCCTTGAAGCAAAGGAAGGTGCTTTCTAATAAATCCAGCTTGACAGCTGGACCGCTTTTGAGGGCAGTGCAATTGTTGTTCCCTTTCCAGAGGAAGTGCAATGACATGGGCTTTGGTCAGCAGAGCCAGGATGGGAGGCATCTCCTGTTGTCATTGAGTCCTAAGATATGACCCACACGTCTTAGTGACTAATGCCCTGAGATGGAAAGAGGGAGGAATGGCAGGATGGATATACACCAAGATGCTGACCATGAGGTTAGAGCACATGGAAAATGGGCTGAATGAACTTCCTGAAACATCAGGTGGCTTTCACAGTAAGGTCAGCTGAGGTCTTGCTTCTGTCTCCAAGACACTGACTGTGCATACTCATGTCTCTTGGGATGGGGAGGCTGACAGATTCCTCTCTGGGCCTCTGAGATCCAACTTTCTTCCATTCTTGGGCTTAGGAATGGAGATCCAGACTCAGTAGGGGAATTGGAGCGAAAGATTTCCTGATGACCAAAATTGTTAGACTTTGTTACATTCAACGGGTCAAATTCTATCTTCTTCCCAACAATATAGAGATGGCACCAAGAGGAACCAGTGGGAAGGTTGGTCCAGAGGACCTGCTGGCTCCAACAGAAACTAGGGTATTTGGTCATGGAGGCTGTGTTTCCAAGAAATCCTGCCACCACCACTCATCGGGTAGGGATTTTTCTAGAAACAGCAATGAGGTATAAGACAACATCTCAAGAAAGACAGCCTACTGGCAACAATTGTGCTGAAAACAACCAGGTGGTTTTAAAATAGAGAAATCAGGCAGGCCCATTGGGTTCCTCTTCTTACCTTGTGTCCCAAGCTTCAAGAACGGATTGTAAATACTTTGGGCTTCTGTTCTGGGGATGGCATGTTACTAGAAAGTTCTATATTGTCCACAAGGACATTCTTGTCTTCCAGTCTGATGACAGTGGGCTCTGGGGCGGGAGGTGGGGCTGGGTTTTTGTGCGTGTGGGGCAAGCAAGTCCGGCTGATATCCAAGTCTTTGAAAGCATGAAGCATGAACACACCCAAGAGGACAGTGACAAAACCAGAGAGGGTGCCCACAATGTCCACGGCAGACATGGAGTACCACTCCTTGAACAGGATGATGGAGGAGATGACAACCACTGTGGTGAAGATCACGTAGTAGATGGGGAACACTAGGGAGGTGTTAAAAATGTCCAGTGCTCTGTTGAGGAAGTTGACCTGAGTGCTGATGCAAAGTGCCAAAATGAGAGACAGGACATAGGGGAGGGGGTGCCGCACGACTGGCAACCCCTGGAAGAAGTTTCTAATGGTGATGCCCAGGCCCTTGACGGCAATCACAGAGAAGGACCCCATCACAGAGCAGATGATGATATAAACAAGGATATTCCTTTGTCCGTAACGTGGGGCAACGATGAAGATGAGAAGGAGACAGGACACCAGCAGAAACACAGTGAACACGATGAACCCTTCAGGAAGGGAGGGACATAGATGACCTCAGCTAAGAAACATATGGACAGCATCTAGGGCCCGCGACCCATACGGGGGAGGTAGCTCTAGACTCAGACAAGCCTGGGCTCTAGCTTCAGGGTCAAACCCGTTAATAACCTGGGTAAGTTATTAACCCCCCCCAAGACCTCACGGTCCTCATTTGAAAGAGGACCACCAATAGCATTTTCCTTGTAGGGAAAGTTCATGTATATAAAAATGTATCAAATGCTTTTATTTTTACTCTTAACTTTTTGGCACTACTGGGGTTTGAACCCAGGGACTCACACTTGCTAGGCAGGTGCTCTACCACTTGAGCCAAACCTCCAGCCCTTTTTACTTTGGTTATTTTTTTAAGATCTCGTGGTTTTTGCTCGGGCCCAGCCTCCAACTGCGATCTTTCTACCTATGTCTTTCTAGTAGCTGGGATCACACCGTACCCAAGTTGTCTGTTGAGGTGAAGTTCTTGCTAACTTTTTGCCCAGGCTGGCCTCAAACCACAATGCTCCCGATCTCAAACTCCTGAGTCGCTAGGATTACCTATGTGAGCCACAGCACCTGGCTATTAACGCTTGTATAATAAATATAAAATCATTTAGAACAATGCCTGGCATGTTATGAACGAAAACTGGTACCCATGTATGTCAGGCCAGGAATGCCATAAACGGGCCGTGCTAACAATCCCAGCCCCACCAACTTCCTTTCTGTAGCTTGCCTTCTCTTCCAGGGGGCAGCACTGAGATGGGCAGGACCCAATCAGACCTCCCACAGGGTTCAACCCCCAGTGTCTTGTGCACACCTGGTGCTTGAAGCCTACCTGTGTCCTTCATTTTGGAAGCCATCTCCATGATGGTGGTGACCTTCTCTTCCTTGGGGGCATGAATCACCATCACTGTGGTGCCGGCCATGCAGATCACACAACCCAGCTTCCCCAGCAGATTCAGACTTTCTCCCAGGAAATATGAGGAGAAGACCACACTGCACGTGAAGAGATGGAAGAGAGGGAGTTGGGTAGCTATGCTGTCCCAAGACTTCCCCTCCTCAAACAAAAAGTCTAAAATAGAAACTCATTTTGGGGAGGGTTACAATGTATGCTGGAAGAATAGGAAATGCAAGTTGAATTCTTTTTTTGCAGTACTGGGGTTTGAACTCAGAGCCTTACCTTGGCTAGGCAGGTGCTCTACCACTTGAGCCACTCCACCAGCCCTTTTTTGTGAAGGGTTTTTTAGAGATAGGGTCTCTCGATCCTCCTGATCTCTGCCTCATGAGTAGCTAGGATTACAGGGATGAGCCACCAGACCTGGCTTGATTTCTTTCATTTTTGAGACTGAAAGCATTCCCAAACCAAAGGGCTGGGAGAGCCCTTCAATCCACTCTAACCTAACTTCTAGCCCTTCCCAGTATTGCTATGAGATGTTTTCTAGCTTTGTTTTTATACCACTGGTAGCAGGGAGTGCCATCCCTTACAAGCAAAAGAGCCCCCTGTAGGCTCACTCTAATTACTCAACAAAACATACTTTTTGCCAGTCACTCCATGTCCCTTTTCTATTCCTTGGCCATATAGAACAAATGGTCTTTCTTCTACTAGTATATGTCAATATAAGTAACCACAATGACAGTTATAGATCCTATGTCTTGGGCATATATGCATACTAGCTACTGGGCCAGGATTGTTTCATTTATTATTTCACTAGCATCTCACAAGATATACTATCCCTATTCTATAAATGAGAAAACTGAGTCCACAAGTTGGCAGAGGCAGGCTTTGAACTCTAGTTCTATCTCATGATAAAGCCTGTGAGTTTTTCTCTACACCTCATTGGAAAGAATTGACTTCCCTGAGTCTTTCACATTTCTGGGCAAAATACCTCCAGTTTCCCAGTGACATGATTTCCATTCTCCTTATGTCCCCTAGGTGAGCCAGCAAGGGTGGGGGAAGAAAGGAAGGAAATTGGGCCAGCGGGGTGAGGTCACTGGCCACATTTTGCTTCTCCTGCTTATACAGGTTGGCATTAGTTTATGGTAAAAAAATCTGATGGTCATTCTGGTGCCCCGTTAGCCTCAAAAAGGGCTGGCCTAAGCTGTCAGGCAAGAAGGCACTGATGTTTAAGCTCCCCTCTTAGGCTCCTATCGCTCCTCTAAAAATGCCCACATGCTTTTACTTATGATGTCCTGTTCAAGAGAGGCTGGTGGCATTTGCACAAGCAGGGCAGGAGAACTGCATACCCCTTCCATCCTCCTGGGAGTGGGAATTTGTAACCTTATCAGAGTTGCAGAAGTTGTACCACAGCTACATCAGCAATGAACTCAGCTAGTCCAGCTATGTGGTGTGAGTCATGGTTCTGTTTGTTTTCTGACTGTGCAAATGTTGCAAAACTGTCATCAAGATGGCAAAAACAAACTGAGGAAATTATGGGTACTGAGTGTGGTTGGATGGGTAGCTAGAGTTCCAAGGTTACCCCAAAACTCATAGCATCCTTCAAATGAGAGCTTAGAACCCCTGAAGAGGAACAGGCTGTTTGCAGCATAGGCGATCTAGGAGCAGTGAGAGAGGCATACAGTTAGTATCAGTTATTTTTTGATTTATTAATTTTTTGACAGTACTGGAGATTGAAGTCGAGGCCCTGTGGTTGCTAGACAATCATTCTATCACTTGAGCTATGCTTCCAGTCCTTTTGCTTTTAGTTTTCAGGTAGGGTCTCCTATTAACTTTTGCCTCTACTGGCCTTGAATTGTGATCCTCCTACCTCCACCTCCCAAGCAGCTGGGATTTCAGGCATGGACCACCATGCCTGGCTTTATTTCATTATTTTTTATTTTTTCAGTGCTGGGAAATGAATTCAGGTCCTTGGCACTCGACCACTGAGCTACGTTCCCAGTTCTAGCACCAGTAATTTTAAAAACTATCATTCGTTGCGTGTTACTTGAGAGGCAAGTTGGCAAAGTGGAGAAGCACCTGGACTCTGGGATCAGACTGTACAGGTTGGAATCCTGGCCTGGCCACTTGGAGCCTGTTTACCTTGGCCAAGTTGCTTAACCTCTCTTGGCCTCAGGTAGGGATGCTGCAAGGATTGAGTTAAAACTCAGAATGCATTTGGAACGTTGGGCACACAGTCAGCCCTCTGTGTGTCATAGTGCCAGTTCTGCACTAAACACTCTGTGTTAGCTCCTTTGCTCCTCCAAGTGGGTATTATTAGCACCCCATTTTTCAGGTGGGGAAAACGGGACTTAAAGAGGTTAAGTGACTTGTCTGTCATAACATAATCACTAAATGTTCGAGAGAGGATTTGAATTCAAGGCAGTGTTAATCTTGGACTTGGGCTCTTCACTCATTTGCTTCTTCTATTAGGGCGCCAATATATTCTCTTGAGAGATTGACCCCAGTGACATGGAAGCCCTTCAAACTGGCGTGAGCTTGACTGCCCTCTATTTCCCATTGGTCTAGGATACACAGGGACCAGTGGTAGCAAACAACCAAGGGTCTACAGCCTCTTTCCAAGGTCTGGGACAGCCTGGGTCCCTGAAAACCAAAGATTAGCTGGCCCCACTTGGCAAATCCATGCCGCAATAAGTTGAAAGCAGAAAAGAGCCAGAAATAGCCAGAGAGGTGAGGAAAACCTTATGAGGACGCTCAACACTCCCAGAGGTGTGATGACTGTCGCAGGTGCAAATGCATAGGCACCGAAGTTGGCGACTTCTCCAGCAGCCACTACAAAATTAAGACAGGAAAGAGGTCAGTGTGACTGAGTCACCATGTCTGTTCCAAATGAGTCTGACTAGGGACTGCTTCAGTCAGTGTCTAATCATCCACGGAATCCCAGACTAGCACTGCGTAAACTCCTCATCCTATGCTGTCTCTGTAGAGTCTGATGAGAAGGTCAGACCTACACTATCCTGTCCAAATCCCTCCATCATAAAGATGGCGAGACTAAAACCCAGAGTCACCCAAGATGCTTACGGGTAGAAGCCTTCTAGAAGCCATCACATCTCTTGGCTTCTAGTCCAGGCATGGTTAAGTGTGTCTTGGGGACTGCCCATTTGTTGCTCTGTATCTTTAAGGTGAGTTCTAGAAAGTGCTAACTATCTAGTAAAGAAACAGTTGCATTCATTGATTCTCTGGATACCAATTGGTCCACGAACTCCTCGGCCCTAGGGGAGTTGTGGCCAGTCTAAATTGACAGGCTGGTTGTTAATAAATTCTGACATCCCCAAAGAGCCCAAGTTCTCCTCATCTGAGTGCCTGCAAGTGTCTTTTCATCTGTGTTGCAGATAACAAACTGGTCTCCCCTTTGAAGCGGATGGGCACTGTGATAGCTCCAGCCCGGGCAAGGATAAAAAAAACCTGACTTGGGGATCAAGAGCATGTGTCAATTTCCACCTAAAAGTAGGAGTCAGGGCTAGCTAGCCGGAGGAGGTAGGTGTGGAGTGGGGAAATGATTAAGTGTGTGAATCTGGACAAACATGCCATTGCAGAGCAGCTATGTTCTAAGTGGGCCAGCAAATAAATTAATTGCCTGTGCAATGGAGAACCCAGCTTCTGCCATGTAAGATTGTAAGGGACGGTGACATCATCTCCCTGGATTTCAAGGGAAGTAGAGAAATTACACCTGAATCGTTATCAGCTATGTATAAACCTCTCTGGGCTTAGATGCTTCATGGATGAAGACTGACTCTGGGTGGAGAAAGATGTGAAGACTGTCAAGGTCATCCTAGGAATCTGGCCTGCAGGCCACACTTTCTATAGTGGAAACAGAAATGCCCCACTCACCCCTTCCTTCACTTCCAGCCTTGCCATCTACCCAGACCACAGGATCAGTAGCAAAATAATCCACTTACTGGTGGCAAATCCAGCCCACCACATGGGGTCCTTCAAGTAGCCATATCCTCCATCCACTGTAAAAAGGAAAGGACACAAAGTCAAAGCTCAGCTACAGTTTTTCAGGCTCCTTTCCTAACTCTGCCTTCACTCCAGGACCTCTAAGTGTTGCCCAGGGCTAAATTCTAGGTATGTAGATACGGTGTCCATGTTTCATGCCCGTGGCTTGGATCCGTCTTCTGAGCACAGCTTCTTCCTTGTCACCTCTTGAAGTTTGAATCCCTCCCCAGCATCCCCATGTCTGTCCTAAATAGAACTCTTGCTATTTCCCATCCCCCTCCTCCAGCACTGGAGATTGACTGGCCCTTGCACTTGCTAGGCAGGTTCTCTACCCCTTGAGCTTTGCCCACAGCCTTTTTGCTTTTAGTTCATTTTCAGATAGTGTCCGGCAGCTATCTGAAAGCTATCCACTTTTCCTGGGCCAGTCTGGGACGGAGATCCTCCTACCTCTGCCTCCTGAGTACCAAGGATTACAGATGTGCAAATCATGCCCAACCAAACTCTTGATAGTAAATGGTCTCCACCCACCTGTAAGTGGCACTTGCATGTATTTAGTTGTTTAAGCCAGACACCCTTCTCGGCCCTGCTCTCTCTTTCTCTCTCCTTTATCCGCCCGCATCCAGTCCATCCTGCTGAGTCTGTCTCAAAAAGGTAGCTCACATGGGCCCAGTCTACTGCCACCACCTACTCAAAGCCACCATCATCCCTGGTCCATATTGAGGCACTGGCAGTCAATGGTCTTTTTTAAAATGAAAAGCAGACTATGGGAATTATGGCTAATTTTCATTAGCCGGCCAGTAGTTTCTGATGACTCTTGAAAGAAAGACCAGAATCCTTACCAAGCGTGTGCAGAGCCATGGTCCTGCTTACCACTCCAAACACATCCCCTACCACTTTCCTTCTTTCCTGCCCCAAGACCTTTGCATATGCTTTCCCTGCATCCAGAATACCCTTCTACCAGTGTTTGCCTGAATCCACACTCACTCTACAGGTTTCTGTTTGAATGTTGTTCTCCCCTAAGAAGCCCTCCTGGACCTCCTCTTTATTTCCACTGGGAATTGTCTTTCAAAACACCCAGCCCGTCTCCTGCCAGCACTTATCATTTAGCATTGGAGTTAACCTACTTGTTTTCTGGCATTTCCACCACTAAAATGGAAGCTCCAGGAATTGTCTGCTTTGTTCGGGGCCGAGCACATCATTAAGATGATGGTGAAGATGAAGAGGAGGAGAAAGAGGAGAAGGAGGAGGAGAAGAATGAATGAGCTTGAGACAGTTCTGTCTGTGAAAGTTCAAAAACTAAATGTTGCTTTTATTTTTTTCCCTAAGGAGAAACTCTTTTGCTGTTATCAAATCCATAAAGGGATCAGAATCTCCTCTAAATGTGAAGAAATATGACAACATTTTACTTTAAGAGTTGAAATCTCAGACAGTCCTGAAACAGCAGTTGAGGGAAAAGTGGGTTCCAGGGAAGGTGTCTTTCTGAATGGTGAGAGACACCTCCCTCACTTCCCTGAGCACAGATTTTCCTGGTGCTAGGTAAGATCACTGGCCTTCTGAGCAACAGCAGTGAAAGCTAGATCAACAATGACCATGACCCCCAACTCCATCTCTGCATCTCACAGCTCTCCATTTTAAGCACAAGTGGGTTCTGCTAGGCTCCTCCTACTTAGTTAGCAGTGATGCCAACAACCAGTGCTTTCTCCGTGCCAAGAATCTGTCAGCAGGCTGTAGCCTTAGCTGAGCCTCCCTAACCCTGACCTCTGAAATCCAAAATGCTTCAAATTCCAAACTTTTTGAGTGTGGATATGACAGCAACAGTGGAAAATTCCACACTGAAACTTTGTTTCATTCACAAAATTATTAGCTATACTGTATAAAAGAACCCTCAGGCCAGGTATGTACGGTGTGTATGACACATAATAAGTGAATTTCATGTTCAGATTTGGCTCTTGTCCTTAAACTATCTCATTATCCATATGCAAATATTCCAAAAGAGTCCAAAAATCCCAAGCATTTCTCCAGCATTTCAGTGAGAGGCATTCCATGCGCACATGTCTTCTGAATACCTTTAGGCTGGTACTATTCTTGTGCCATTTGATAGATGAGGAAACCGAGGCGCAGAAAAATACTTTTCTTGCCTGGGATCCCACCACAGAGGAGATCATGAAGGAGCCAGAAGTGGATTCCTAATGGTCTGCTTTTCCAGTGTGACATCCCACAGAAACATTCATTGAACACGTCCAAACTTGAAACATCATCTTCCCCAAACCTGTTCCTCCTTTTCCATTCATCTCTGCAAATAACACAGCATCTCCTCAGTTTCTCAGGTCTACAACCTGAGTCATTGCTGGCAGCCAGTCCACATCAAAGCCACTGAGCTCTGTCTCCCAAAACGATCTCTGAATCCACCGCCAATGCCATTTACCAGTCAAGTTCTGTTCTCTGGCTCACCTCATTGGCTTCTTAACCTATAGTCTTGGGCCCAATCCATTCTCTGCAGCAACCAGGGACCTCTTCAAATCATAATCCAGACTGTATCTCTCAATCACTTAAGGGTTGCACTCCAACTCTGCAGCCTAGTTTACGAGGCCCTTCCTGAGTTGAGCTTACCTCCTCTACCCCTTCCTGCTCCTGCTATCCTGAACCCTGTTCTGTTTTCAGTGGTACTCATGTCCTTACCTCTGAACCTTTGCATGTGCTGTTCTTTCTACCTGTTCCTTGCTATCTCCTCATCATTTGGATCTCAGCTTAAAGACTTTATAGGAAACCCTCTCTATATCCTCCCTCCCTAAATCTGAGCTTTTTATGCCTTTTCAAAATACTCCCTTGGCAGCCTGTGTTTACTCCATTATGGCCCTAATTCACTATAGGACAAACCTATTGCCTTATCTGTCTCTCAAAACGGACTATGTGATCCACAAAGACACCTTGTCCCCATGTACAGCAGACATGCAATAAATGATTCCATGAATGAATCTTTTACACATAATTCTTTTTCTCAAGAAAAGGAGAGGATACACATCCAATTCACGGATACACATCCTATTTTCCAAACAAGCAAATCTCTTAGGGGCAGAGGCTCAGTAATTATCTTGTAGCCCAAAGGGGCTTCACTGCAGAGTAGGGAGAGCATAGGAGAGTCTGACTGTGTTGTGGATAGAGACATTTGTATTCCTGTGGTTCAGGAGAAGTTGTGACTTGTCTGCAATGACAGACTGCTAAGCAGTGAAGCCAGGACTAAGCCTGGAGTATTTGATTCTGGGTCCTGAGGCTTTTCCCTGCCTTTACCACAAAGGACAAATCATGAAGTTCTTACGACATCCTGGATTGCAAAGGAAGCTCTCTCTTGGCAGCTGGAATCCTCAACAGGGTTGTCTATGAACATTTAGTGCCCTTCTGGGGCCCTACTCTCAGGCTGCAACCCCAGCCCCTGTGAAGAGAAATGGCTGGTTGAGGGCTCAGCTGCCCTGTGCCCCATCCTCCCCGCCCTAAGGAGCCTACCAGCTCGAGTGGCCCCAGTGGCAACAAGGCGTATGAGGCCTTTCTTCTTGAGGATGACACTGCTGCCGATGAGGAAACAGGACAGTAAGGCCAGGCCCACACCAATGTAGAAGCCATAGCTCTTCCTGATCCTCTCCTGCCAGCTGATAAGGGTGGCATTTTTGGGTGGCTCAGGGCTGAGGCCACCGATGATCTGACACAGGACTTCTTGTGAGGAGCAGTAGAAGCTGATCAGGGAACCTGTATGGGAAGACCATGACAAGAGAGTCATGCTGGGACATGGGCACACTTTAAGATATTGCCATTGGCCACTGCTTGAGACCTCAGGCTTTCACAGTTGCATGGCCCCTCCCACAAGCTGGGCCCCAATTACAATTGATTACTCTGGCTTAGGGCTTTATTTGCAAGAACTTATCAAAATTTCACAACCACTCGTCACGTAAGTGACATCTTTTATCTTCATTCAAGGGTGTGGAAACGACAGAAATGAGAGAGTATGGATTGTCTGACTTCAGAACTCCAACCTGTGAAGCTCCACACGCCAAATTCTCAGGCACCCTTGAGTGTGACCCTCTGTCCTTCACAGGAGTCCTCTCTCGGGATGTAAGGCAATCTGACTGTGATCTCGTCACCCCATTGATTGCCAGGGTTGATTCAGTTGATCTGGCTGGCTAGGCAGGTGTCCCCTTCCTTCCTTCCTTCTCTATTTGCGTCCCTTCTGGAGCTGCATGCTTGGTCGAAGAGGATAACCATCCCTGATAGAGGAGGACCGTTCTTTGGTCAAGGGTATATGAGTAGCTGAGTTCCCCTGCTAGAACCTCCAAACAAGCTCTCAAGGAATCCCTGCTCAGCCTCTGGGCCTCCCACAGTTCTCAATCCCACACGGGGTGTCTTCACTCTCATACTCATAAGCTCCAACTGCAGTGGGAGACAGGTTGCCTGTACTATCCATGGACCTCCTAGGCCTGTCGATGACTGAGTGAGAACTGGCCTTTCTCAGGCATTGCTTCTGAGACCTGTGGCACTTGTGGTCAGTGGCTGTAGACTCCTTCAGGTCACAAAAGGATTATGTTCCCACCACCCCATACAGACTATGTCTTTAGTTTGATCTCCTTGTCTCAGGGTCCCTGAGATTCTGAATCTGCCATTCCCACTGTCCTGCCCATCTGGCGTACAGGACACACAGGGTAGATAGATCCTCAGTGAAAAGCTAAGCTGTACAAATTCAGTGAACTGGAACACTTCCCCAGTACTTCCCCAGCGTGGCCTTCTGCTCTGGAGTGTTCCTAACCACTCCCCAGAACAGGCACAATGGTCATGTCTAGGTTTTTAGTCAAAGAAACTGAAAACTGAATTAGGTAATCTTCCTAAAGCGACACTGGTAGCAAGGGGTGAAGCCAGGATTAGTCCTCACCCCCATCTGATAGCAAAAGCCATGCTCAGAACCACCTCAGGCTGCAAGGGGACAGTGGCCTTCACCTTGATCCCTTAGAGTTGCTTGAGAATGTGTGACTAACTTTTACAAATTGAGAACTGTGACGACGCCGTGTGGTTTGAAGGGAAATGGATGCAGGTGGAGGACATCATGTTAAGTGAAGTAAGCCAGGCTCAGAAACACAAAGGCCGCATGTTTTCTCTCACACGTGGAAGATAAATCCAAGGGATAAACATGTACACAAAAACAAGCATGATCATATACCAACTCACTTGTAGAACATGTTTGTGACAGTGGCACTACTCTATGGAAAGGAAGAGAGAACGGTAGAGCATCAGTAATATCGCATACCATAAGATGTGAAGGTGGAGGACATAAGGATGTGTACTGAAAGCTGTTGAAAAATGGAGTGTGGGAGGTAAAGGGGTGAGGGAGAGTAATGGACGGAGTGGAATGGACCAAAGAAAAGCAAACGCACAGCAGGGATACATTGAGACACTCCTTCAAACATCAACTTAAATATTAATAATGAAAATCAGGACTGTAAAATAGGTACAGTGGGGGGGTACTGGTGGTATGGGGGAGGGTGAAGAAGGAGATTAAGGTAAGGGTACATGATTGATGGACTTCATATACTCTTATGAGATAGAACAACGAAGCCTCTTGCAATTGCTTTAAGTGGGGCAGGGATGGGTTGAGGGGAAGAGACGGTGGGGGTGATTTAATCAATGTATAATATAAGCCTCCCATTAATCCCTTCTGTACAGTGAATACATCCTAATAAGGAAATTTTTAAAGAACTGGGAACTGCCCCATGAGCATTCAGATTTGGGGCTGCACTTGGAAATCAAAAGGTCTGTTTGCCTCCCTGACCGGACCAGTCCATAAACCAGCAATTGCCTGAAGCTCAACCGTGTTTGCTCACTGAGGCAGGGGACATACTCTCTGCAGCTCCTCACACTCTATCTGGCTCCCTCAGTCGTGTTCGTTATGGGCTTGCACTCCGGGAGTATTAGAGTTGGTGACCTCTGTAGGTACAAGGTCCTATTTAAGCTGCAAGCGTTGTGTCACAAGTGCCTAGGCTTCAGTACTAAGGAATAAGCCTGAACCAGGCCCTTCTCGGGCCATGCTGGAACTCCTAGCAGTGCCTAAAGGGCCTTAAAAGCCATGGAGTTCTTGCTTTGGCACATCTGTAGTCGAGTGGAATCTTTGGGGAGCAGTTGAAGAGTAATGTTGACCTCTCTTTCTTTCGTGGCTCAGAACCACAGAAAAACCCTTGAAAAACAGCCAGTCTAGAATGTAACACGGTGGTAGAGAGCTTGCCTAACACATACAAGCTCTGAGCTCCACCCCAGCACTTCAAAAAAAAATGCATCCATTAAAGAGCAGCAGGTCTAAACCTCTTACTTTCAGCTGGTGAAACTGAGGCCATGTGAAGGGAAAAGACTTACTAGAGTCACACAGACATTTGGTGGTAGAAGTGGGTCTTGAACCCACCAGGGGACATCCATCCATATGTCTTTTGCAATGGGAGACCTATCTCTCCAACATGTCACAATTGAGGGAAGATGAGACAAGAAGCCTTCATCAGACTGGTTCTGTGTTGCTCACTCCTGTTCCACCAGCTCTGGCCTCCTTGCCCAAGAGTAGAATCTGGGGAGTTCCCTGAGCCCAGGAAATGAGCCAGAGCCTGGGGTGGGGTGGGAGGTGACCAAGAAAGGCAGGACCCATTCCCTCACCCTTCCCCTGCTTTCTAAACGTGCATCTCTAGTAGATGGAGCTAGAGGACTTGCTGTGGACATGGCTGTCCCTGAGGCCTCTGGCACCAACAAAGTTCACACCCTCCACTGAGTCAAGTTCTGCCATTACAAAAAAAAAAAAAAAAAAAAAAGGGCTGATGACCCAGGAAACCCAATTTTGAGCAAGGTGCTCATCTGAAAAAGGGGTGCTGGGCAGATTGATTCCTGTCTCCACTAGAATATGCAAGGACTGGGAACGCTGTCTGCCCTAGGATAATGAGCGTGACTGAAAATGGCCCGCTTCACCTTGCTGCTCAGGACCCCAAAGTCAGTCAACACCCAACAGGCTGGCTTTGAAAACCTGGCTGGAGAAGCACAGAAGTTAGAGGGTGGGGGACACCCCACAGTGTGCACCTCCAAGACCAGGGAGGAAAATAGGGATAGATAGGAGCAGGAGTTCAGGATTTAGAATCCAAGAGCCCTGCCTTCTTGAGCATCAGCGCCGCAGTTTCTGTAAGTCTAGAATGGAGTAGTCCAAGTAACATTACCTACCTCCTACAGGTGTTTCAAAAATTAAATGAGACGCTGCAGGGAAGGTCCTTGTCCTCTACGTGGAGAAAGAACTCACCACAACGCCAAGGGTCGTGGGCTCCTTCTCTCTGCTTTCTAAAAGGCCTGCTTGGATTAAGGGGTGGTGAGGCTCTGTGGCCCTCTCCCCTTTGTATTGGGCGACACAGAGAGAACCCAGATGGGAGAAGATACTAAAATATGCAGTAACTGTACCCTAATCCCGAGCCCCTCAGCTCCAGGAAGCCTGCTCTGGGGAATAATGCCCTCTTCCCAGTATGGTCCCTTTGTCCCTCTCACCTGGTGAAGTCTCAGCCAGACCCTGACCTTCAAGACTGGCTGAGAGCAGGGTGGTAGTCAAGTCGCGCTGACTTTCCCCCTCCCCAGTTTTGGATCCCCGCCCACCAGGTCCCCGCCCGGCTGCACGCACCGTTCACGCAGCTGGCGTTGCTGAACCGCAGCTCCATGGGGCCCCGGGCGCACGGAGCAAGCCGAGAGCGCGGGCGGACCCGCAGCTCCGCAGCAGGTGGCTGCGACTTGTCACAGCCGCGTGGCTCCGGCACGAGAAGCCGCCGGGATCGGACTCAGGGGTGGGGAGAATGACGCGTCCCGGAGGGGAGGGTCCCGGGGAGGAGTCACTCTGTGCCTTGGCGACTCCGGGCCTCTGGGGTACCTGCGCTCCTGCCGCCCCATCGGGGCGCGTGCCCTTCTGGGGTGCAGCCAGCTGGTCACGGTCGGGTGCCAGGGGACCAGGAGAGGGGGCGGGTCCCGGGCCACGCCCCTCAGGGACGCGGGCGCTGGCGTCCAGCTCCAGCAGGGACAGAGTCGGGGCGCCCCAGGACGGCGCGGGAGGTGGCCACATGGGGGCTGGGAAGGCCGAAGGGGTCTGCGGATCTGGTTCCTTCCTTCCCTTGTTTCTTTCTTCCTCCCCCTTGCCCGGTTCATCACTCAACAGAGGTCTGATCTGTGGTGGGCACTCACAGGTTACCAGGTACACAGTAAGTGCCCAATAAGTATTCAGTCCAGGAGATCGGTAGGTTGAATGGAAGGAGGAAATTAAGTGATCAGAGGCCAAAATGAGTTAGAATTTTATGAATTAGTGGGAGAAATAAAATAAGATCAATTACTTAGAGTTCAGTGTTTTCCAAGTTGCTATTTAAAATTTTATACATTATATAATAACATTGTATCAATATATATAATGAAAGTTGGGATGGAATTATAAATATATGTGTGTGTATATATACATGCGTACATCCATATAGATACACATACATACCTATAGATAGATAAGCAGGTAGGTAGACAGATAGATGGATGAAGTTGTGATGGAAGGTGAATTTGTTCCCATGGCGAATAGTAAAAACGAGTTAGAGAAACACTGGCCTGGGCCAGAAAAACCCTTATGCTGTGCTTGCTATAGGCCAGGCAGAGTTCTAAGTAAGTGTTGACAAATCCCAGCTCCTTTAGTGCTTATGACAACCAAAGCACAGAGAGGAAACAGAGGCATGCTGTGATCAAGTAACCTGTCTTGGGCCCCAGCAGGGAAGGGGAAGCACCAGGATCAAACTCAAGCTGTCAGTGGCTCCACTCAGCCACCCAGCATCTTAGACTGTGGAGAGTGGGGCTGCTCAGAAAGCAGGGGTCAGTTCTGACACCCACTTCCATCATCTATATAGTCTTCAGTAGGGGACACTGTTCACAGGCTTTTCTTATTTAAGCCTCCTATGAGGCAGGTGTCCTTACCATCTCCATGCAAGAGAATGGGGGAGAACAGAGCTGCTAGGGCCACATGTGTCCTCCCAGTCATCACCCTCCACTGTTCTGCATGTGGCCCTCTGGCTGGTCTTACAGGATGGGTTCCCCCAGTCCCCAGTGTCTTCTTCTAACTCTCTGGATTACTCTAGGCACAAGACCTTATCTGTCCAGTAACACTGTATGCCCCTTTCCATGTGTGAACTGCCCTGGTGGGAGAGGAGAGATGGAGAAGAAAGGGCCATCACACACATTACCAGCTGAACATATCCACGACCATGGGTCTTCCTGCAGACCCAGGCCTGCGCTTAACTCTGGAGCCAGAGTTCAAGTGGACTTAAACACCTGTAAGACCAGTATGAATTGGATCACAGAGTGGCAAGGCACCAGATGGTTGGCCCTAGTGAGAAATGAAAATTAAACATGAAAAATGGATGCATTATCTCCTGAGATGGGGAGGATTTGACAGGAGAATTTCTCTTTTCTGTCATCTAGGCATTTTTGCAGCACAGACCCACTCTGATACTGGTTGTAGTGCAGCCCTTAAAACTTCACTGCATTATCTCCCAAGATGGGGAGGACTTGTCAGGAGAATCTCTCTTTTCTGTCACCTAGGCACAGATTCACTCTGGTACTTGTCGTGGTGTTGCCCTTAAAACTTCACTGTATTCAGATTTGATTGCTTTTGTTCCAAGAACATAGGATGACAGACATAGAGTGTTTCCTTCTGGCTTGATTTTTTTTTTTTTAATTTTTCCAGCTCTCTGGTGGTATCATTGACAAATAAAAATTGTGTATATTTAAGGTATAAGATGTGATGATTCTATATATGCAATCATTGTGAAATGATCACCATAATTAAGCTAATTAATATATATCTCCCCCCACAGTTACCTGTGGCTTTGGCCGGGGCAGGGGGGAGGGGGAAGAGCACTTCAGATCTAGTGACCTTTCTTTAATAAGCCAACCTTTTTCAATCACAAGAGAAGATGTTTAAGACTATGGTTGCCAGAACTGTTCCCAGACAGACAGACAGACAGACATATGTGCTCTTTAATCCATTTATTTTTATATGTGCTCATCATTTGAGGAGCCTTAAATTCCAGGGTCTTGGCCAGGAGTTCTATTGCCAGAGCAGTGTTGAGTTCATCTGGTGATTTGAGACAGGGCTTTTCAGAGTCAGCTGAATTTCGTGTTTTGGGGCAGTGGTCTGAGGTGGAAGGGCTGGGATCCAGCACAGGGCCATCCACACCCTCTCTGGGCCTCAGGCTCCCCATCTCCTCCAGGAGGGGGCTGGGCCTCCCCAGGCTGGCATGGGCGCATCTTACCAGGGCAGACATAAGGGCCCCATTGAACTGCAGGCTCCTCGGCTGCTGTCCTCACAAAGCCCTTTTCTCCTCGAGCCACAATGGCCCTGTCAGGCAGGTAGCAGGGCCTGCAGCATTGTCTCCCCAGAGAAGAACAACAGAGCTCACTGTCTGTTCCAGGCGCAGTCTCTCTGGGGAGGGCGAGTGCCTTTGGAAGGGTCTGAGAAGCCAGGGGCAGATGGGCTCTGACTGTAGCCAGGGCTTGGTGAACCAGCCACAAATCTATTGGTCTGCTCGTTAGGGAGAGGAGGAAAACAATTTACCAAAACTTGAGTTTCTAAAACCTCGACTTCCTAATTGCATGTCCAAATGTTTTACCTGAAGAGCTTTTCTGCCCGATAGGGTAGCCACCAGCTATAAGTGGCTGTTGAGCACTTAAACTGCTAATCCAAACAGTGGTGTGTTGTAGGTGTGGAACAGGTTCTGTTAACATTTTGGACAGATGATCCTTTGATGTAGGAGTCTGTCTTAAGAGGTTTAGAATATTGAGGGCAATCTCTGTGCTCTCTACCCCCTAGTTGTCAAGAATACACACACCGCCCTCCACCTTCTGTCCCTTGGTTTTGAACACTCAAACCAACCTAAATGCAAAAATTGTCCCAGATTTCAAAGAACAACTAAAATGAATGCAAAATATCTCAGTGATGTTTAAGTGCTGATTACACATAGAAATTGGTCATACTCTGGATGCATGGGGTCAAGTAGAATACATTTAATAATGTATTATTATTAAATCGATTATATTATTATTAAATCTGTTCTCCTGTTACCCAGTTTCTTTTTACTTTGTATAAGGTGGCAGCTATGTGATTAAAAATTGCCTCTGTGGCTCACATACAGTTCTGTTGGACAATGCTGTTAAAGAGGAAGAAACTTAGGGCCACGGAGCAAAAGTGGCCTATGGAAGGTCATAAAGAGGTCATCAGGACCCCAGTCAGGTCCCCAGACCAAGTCTGCAACTCCATACAGTTTCATAGTGAAAGGACGTCTCCAAATCAATGTGCTGCGTGCCTCCAGTGCAGGAACAATAGTGACACAAGTCACGTTAATGCTGTTGGTGGAGGGCTTGCCACACACGCTTGTTTAATCTTTTTTGGTGGTATTGGGGTTTGAACCCAGGCCTTACATTTGCTGGGTAGATGTTCTACCACTTGAGCCACACCCCCAGGTCTTTTTGCTTATTTTTCAGGTAGGGTCTCAAATTTTTGCCCAGGTTGGCCTGGACCACGGTCCTCCTACCTGCAGCCTTTGTGTAGCTGTGCTCTCAGGCGTGTGCCACCACACCTGGCTTTTTGGTTGAGATAGGGTTTTGTTAACTTTTTGCCTGGGCTGGCCTCAACTACAATTCTCCCAATCTCTGTCTTCTGAGTAGCTAGAATTATAGGCAGGCACCGCCATGCTTGGTCCCTCAATTAATTTTTAGGAAGATTTTGTGAAGTCTTTATTATTATTATATTATAATAAATAAAAATAATATTATTATTTCCATCTTCCAGATGAGGAAATAGAAGCCCAATGAGGACACTCAGTCCATAAGTTGATAAGCAAAGAATTAACCCCAGACACTCTTCAGCCCTATACATACTGCCTTATAGTCCTGGGTCTAGTGACACCCCAGGAGCCTTGGGAAGGCCACTTCTGCTTCCCACATCCTACCTTGGGTAAGAGGAATGGGCAAGAAATAGCCTGCAGTCCTTCCCAGCTCTGCAGAGCTAGACTTCTGGGTGAGGTGGAGAGACAAATGATATCACCTCCTTCAGGTGATGGGCAGTTCGAATCTAGACCATTGGTATGTGGGGCAGAGGATGTCCTGCACTTTCCCCAGGTGTGTCCCCAGAACGACTGCTGTCTTCATAAACACCTTTATTGGCTTCAGAAATAATGCTTAAAATGGACATGCATGTGCTTGCTCCGCCTCTAAGAGGAGCGCCATGCCTGACAATGGGGTCCATGTGTCTTAATGGTGACTAAGTCCTTTGTAGACATCAGCTCATGTCCTCATTGCAGTGTGGGCTCCATCAGAAGTTCTGTCTTACAGAAGAAGAAACTGAGACTCAGAGAGGTGAAGTGACTTGCCCAGGGTCACACAGGGATGAAGTCAGATTGTCAAGCTGGGCTGTGTGTCCCTAGTGTATTTCTAAGGCACTGGTGTGATGGAGCCAGAACTTTCTTTCTCATATCTTTCCTGGTTTTCCTCTATGTGGGTTGACCGGGGACATTAGGACCATCCAGAAACCACAAGTGCCTACATAGCCTTCTTACCAGCCTTCATAAAGGCCTGCAAGGGCTTACATTGACCAACCCCCTTGGTTTGCAGATGGGGAAACTGAGCACAGAGCAAGGCAAGGTCATGCCCCACA